ATATAGTGTATAGAAAGTGTATAGTTTTGGTCTACTTATCATTCTCTTCTATCCACATAATATTCTTCCAAACTATAATAAGTTATATCGGAAAGAACTCTTTTTACTGCTTTTCTGGAGCTGGCGTTGGACGGTATATCTTCAATACTATTTGGAAGGTGATTGTACATTCTGCAGCCGTTATATATAATTGAATCTTAACGAATGTGAAAGATGGTAATGATCGGGTGGGGTATCTATTCCCTGTAGTGAAATTTTGTTTGTGTTTATCAATATGACACACTGTTTCAAATATAAATATAGACACTACCATGAGTATATTGTGTTGCTTGAAGTGAAATATGCCCGAATCGCGAAATTTTAGTTTACAGAGGTATCTCAGGACTCTTCTTCGTAAGACAAAAACACTTTGAAGAACATTACCACTGCACACTCTCCAAAAAGGGATACCGTATCGCAAATGTGACTCTATCAAGGAGTAGTATATTGTCTTTGCGGTTGGGTATCCTAGTTCGTTTGCAGCAATTTTCACAGCATAACAACCAGAGAACAATTTTCAATTCAGGTTTTTGACACGTTCACTGAATTTGAGACTGTTGTCGATGTATAGTTCTAGGAATTTAGAAAAACACTGTTTTCAATAACCTGATGGTTATTCAAAGAAATATCAGCAACTGCACATTTGAAGGACACCATCTTAGTTTTCAATATGTTGAAGGAAAAAGGTTCGAGTCGCACCACTCTTTGACCTCTATTATATCTGAAATGATGATATGATGAAGATCAGCTTGTTTATCATTATGCCATATAGTATGTTTGCCGATGATACCACGTGGTATCATCGGCGAACAGGGTGACATTTCCTATAATGTCAAGCGTCGTCAGGTCATTAACATATAGTAAAAACAAAATTGGACCCAAGTCTAATCCTTGCGGAACATCACATTGTATATTACCTAAACTTGAGATTGATTTTGTCTTAACTACTTGTGTGCGGCCAGATAAATATGTCGTGAACCATGAATGTGCTTTATTTCGAAATCCGTAACGGTGAAGTTTCACGCAGTCAAAAGCCTTCGATAAATCACAAAATGCAGTCGCGGCAATTCCCCCATCATTGATCCCAGTATACAGTTCATCTAACAGTGAAAATATTGCATCATCTGTGTTCTTATTGCACTGAAATCCAAATTGTTTGATGCTCAATATATCACACGCCTGCAAGAAGTCAAAGATTATCCACTTAACGAGTCTTTCGATTATTTTCGCTAACGTGGGAATGGCCTAAAATTCTTGGGAGAGCTTACTTCACCACCTTTATAGATCGGCATGACAATTGATGTTTTGAGAAAAGGTGGAAATATGCCTTCTTTGAAGGATTCATTTATCAGAGATACTAGTTGGTTCAGAGCATTATCTGGAAGATTTTCAAAAATCCTAACAGAAATGTCATTAAATATAGATATAACGTTTCGTTCAAATTATCTTGGTTACCAAAAATGAAAAAACATCACATATGCACAGAAAAATATTGTGTATTATACAGGAGAAAAAAATAGATTTTAGCTCTCGGTTTTTTGTCTCCCTCCGCACAACCTCGAGCTAAAATCTAATACTTTTTTCCCTTGTATAATAAATAACTATTGTCAAATCATCTGCAACTGAAGAATAGTACTCATTTAATGTGTCCGGACTCAACTCCAAACCTATTTTCTTTTTGGAGTTCTTTCCTAAAAGATCATTTAATATCTTCCAACTCTCCTTTGATTTGTTGGTAGCACCATCTATGCGATTTTTAGAATATTTTCCTTTGCTAATTTTATAATTTTTCGATATACTGATCTGTACTTATTGTAGTAATTCTGAAAAAAAATCTGCATTTGTATATTATCTGACACATGCAGAGATCTCATATTTCTCGCAGAATCTTTCAATCCTTTTGTAAGCCAATGCTTCTTTTGTTTCTTTTTGATCTCTCCAATGGGAAAAATGCCATTGAAAATTTAAAGAGGTTTATTGTGGAAGACTTGAAATCTTTCTTTTACTGTTGTAGTTGACTCCCAATTTGTTTGCTGACATTTCAAATAGAACATATAATATGCAGTAAATAGCCTACTATATCTAACTGTCTCATTTTTACATTTTGAATCGATGTTACCTAGTGTGCAGAAAACAGCCTCATGGTCAGAGAGACCTGCAGATACAATCGAACATCTGACTTGCTCTGTATCTAAGTTACTGCAAATATAATCTATAGCAGTACTACTCTATTGTGTTACATCTGTTACTGTCAAATCAAAAGCAGTCAAGAATTAGTGACCGTCTGATATTATTCTCTTCATCATTGAAATTTATATTGAAATCACCTATTAATATTATTTTGCATTTCCTAGGAACATCGTACAATATTGACTCCAGTTCGTTAATAAGAATAAGAGGGATTGATTATTAATGAGAGATATTAGCTAGATAAATTGATGCCAATGATTTTTCATTGTCTCTGCACCTGATACTACAATTTTAGAAAATAGATATTCGAGAGCATTAAATCAAGTATCCAGTTTTTTATTTTTTAACACAGATAAAACACAGGTTATTCATATTAAGGATGGTTATAAGAGTCGTGTTGTCAATGTTCCATTCAGTTCAGGAACTGATCGCGATCTGAGTGTTGAAATTCAATATTGGTGCAGTTATAATTACTTAAAATTTTTGTTATCTGTTTAAAATACGGCGTCCTTGGACAAGTACTAAAAGTAATAACAAGTGTGATAACAACGCTGACTTTTTCCTGTGTAGTGATTCCAATAGCGATGGTGAACAATGCGAAAAAGAGATACCAGTGAATTTGAATACCAGTGCATTTGAATATTGAAACACAGAGAGTATGTTGCAATGTATATATAAGAATCTACATCTCAAGTTCGGTTTTTAGGGAAACAAACTATTACAAACATCAGATTTAACCGAAATTCCTTTCTCAACTGTACGTAAAATAGTCAAAAACAAACCTTATGAACGCAAGACGTCATGTGATACGAGATTACCAAAACCTTTAGATGTTCATCTAATAAAATCATCGAAAAAAACAATATATGACTGTTACAAAAGCAATGAGATTCCTACAACTGAAATCATAAGGAAGAAATTGAATATTTCCGGCCATAACGTGAGCTGCTGTCACAAAACTCTTCAAAATTGGATAAAGAAACTAGGATTTAGATTTAAAATAATGAACAAACGCCAAGCAGTTATGGAAAGCAGCACGACACAGTTACGAAAGGGTGGACTGATGGTTCGAGAATGTGTACGCCTAACATGCCTGCAAACAAAGGATCGCGACTAATCATTGTGCGTTGTGGAGAAAGTAAAAGATGGGTTCCGAATTATTTGAAATTATGTGAAAAAAAACTTTAGGACTACAATGTAATTTTTTTTTCACCATTATAAGAACATGGAAGCTAATATTTTTGAGGAATGGTTCGAAAACACATTGATCCCAAATTTGGAAGCGAATAGTGTAATAGTTCTTGACAAAGCTTCCTATCATTCGCGACAGGACATCAAAGTACCGAATAAAAATTCGAGGAAAGATGAAATATAAAGTTTTTAATGGCTAACAATTTGTATTTTCAAGATAACTATACCAAAAACCAACTAATTGAAGTTTTACAGACAAAAACATTTGCCCTTGAGAGTATTGCTGAAAAGTATGGACACACCATACTGACACTTCCCCCCTATTTTTGTGATTCCAATCCCTTCGAGTTGATGTGGGGAAAATTGAAACAAAGCAAAATTTGATAAGAAGATAATAGAGCCAGTTGAAGAAGATGTATGTAATATTACCGAAGAAGACTGGCAGAAAATGATTAAAAAAGTAATTTTAGTTGAAAAAGACTATATGGAGATTGGACACTTCCATATTAATGGTGGAAATAAATTCATTATTAATTTAACTGACGACAGTAATAATGAAACAGAGAATATGAAAGGAATTATCAGAAGATTTCGAAGAAAGTTAGTGAAGGTTTTTTGAAGCGATTGATTGTACATATATATGAATAAGTAGTATTCAGAAGTATTTTCAATTATCACGCTGTTATTTGAATCCCTACTTTCCCACTCACCTATATAAACGAAATATTTATACATTTAGATGCTTGAACCCCGTCTGTCATTTTCATCTTTTCGACGTTTTGGCTCCTGCTTTGGAGCCATTTTCAAGAATTACTTGGAATTGTACTTACATGACTCGAGGACGAGGTCGCAATCTCCCTTGCCCACAAGTCTCGTCACTGTTTGCTGTATTCAGCTCTAGGTGCGGTTCAACCCGGACAACAGTTTGTTTCGGGAGAGGGTCAACTTCAGCACAAAATGTATTTGTTGCACAAAAGCACATTGTATGATGCACGACAGTATTTTAAAAAATATAATATTTCAACTCTTGCATCTGTCTATTCATTTGAAATGTGTGTATGTCTTTAAAATCAAGTCAAATTTTACATTAAATAAAAGTATCACCATGATCCAAGAATCAAAAACCAGTTCCATGTGCCAATTGCAAAATTAAAAGTGACTTATTCTCAAGTCTGTTCTTTTACTATCCGCCTCATTTAATTTTTATAATAATTTTTTATTATGGTGACAGTTTGTTACACAACTTCATATTGTCTTTATCGAAATAAAGTACTATTATTTCCACAAACTCTGTAGCATAAGTTGAGAAGATTACTATCAACATTTTGAAACTGTAAATACGGCAACATTGAAAATGAAAAACTATAACAATAAATCAAGTTGTATAAATCTCAATTTTTTTTCCTAGATATATCATGATTATTTGAGAAATCGTAAAATAGTGAACATACTACTTTTCTCAATTCCTTAGATGATCCACCTCTTGGATAATTTGAAAACATACAAGTGTATTATTGTCTCTTTTCAGAGATAGATTTGTTTTTAATGAAACATTCAAAAAGTTTATCGATACAAACTTGTCTTTGTTCTTGATGTACTTTTATTATTGAAATAATTTACATAATTTTCGATTAAAACAACAGTCACATTTTTAAAATCTCTTGAAATTAAAATAACAAAGTAATCTAATTCGAGTTTTCAACTAGAATCTTCATTGTCGTCACAAGGAAATGCTTCCATCTCAGGAGCAGTTAATTTAGCACACTTCAAGTAGCTGGTCTTCAACAACTCTTTCGCCGTTTTCCTCTTGGTTGGGTTATATGTCAACAAGTTCTAAAATATACAAGTCCATAAGTAAAATTCCTGAATTGCAAGTTATAAATGAAAAAAAAAATCAGATGAAATATTCTGTAAGACAGACACTGATTTTTAAGCCTCGATTATGTGAATAATTGTTTTTATCTTTAGTGTTCTCATTCGATATTTTTTTCCTTTATAAAATCTAAATTGAAACAAACCAACAATTATATAGGTAGTGTATACAAAAATGTTTACCTTTATGAAATCTTCTTCTTCTTGGTTATGAAACTTGATTACATCTGGCAAATTCACAGCTTTCCACTTTGGAAATGAAGACTTGTAAACTGAAAATAATGAAACACCCTCCCAGTTTTCTTCGGAAGGAGTTCCCATTATTTTGAAAATTTTATACAGTTGGTCGATTTCAGAATCTCCCGGGAACAATGCCTTTTTCATAAGCTAGAACAGATAATGATTCAATGAAATTAAATCTAGCCTTCAGAAAATGTTGAATAATTTTTAAAAATAAAAATATTGTACTGGGGGTCATAACATAAAAGAACCAATTGAATATAACTAATAATTAATATTGCACCATGCCTAATCTACACTTTTCTTTTTATTTATTTTTTTTAATATTGCAACTAAACACATTATCTCCATTTGCTTACAAAGAATGTATCCCCCTAAAAACAATGATCATCTAGATAAGTTAAAGAAATAGTTGCTATATTTGTGCATCCCCAATGTAATGAGTCTCAAATTCATTTATATTAAATCAAATCAAAATCAAAATCAATTTATTCATCACTGTAAACTCCAATACAATGCAAGAAAAAAAAGAAAAACAATGTATAGAGTCTGTTGGACTTGTCAGAAAATAGGATTAGATTAAAATTATGAACATAATATATGTGTATACACACTTTAAATAATTAAACATAGGCCCAGTACATACATCTATACAAATATTATACATACTAAACATATAAATTCTACATATTTAAGAATTCTTCTGTGGAGTAAAATGCCATATTTAACAAATAGTCTGATAATAAAGATTTTATTTTTTTGAACTTTCTTATATGACCAAAAATGTCTATAACTTTATTATAGAATCTTATCTGTTGATAATGATTAGAATTTTGACCCACTGTCAGTCTAGAGAACGATTGATGAAGATGATTGCTATTTCTAGTGTTATAACCATGTATTTCATTATTTCTTACCAATTTTTTATTTGCCATATCTAATACTAACAAATATATATAAAGAGATGGTAGTGTCATGATGCCTAATTCAATAAAATAAGGCCTACACGATTCTCTGGGATGTATTCCTTTCATGCAACGTATCACCCTTTTTTGAAGAATGAAAGCATTATTTAAGTGTGCCGATGATCCCCAGAATATTATGCCATAAGATAATATTGACTGAACCAGCCCAAAATATGCCAATTTTAAGACACTGATCGAAATCGTATTCTTTAGTTGTCTAATTAAGAAACATGCCGAGCTCAGCCTACCTACTATGTTATTAATATGTATCTCCCATGTCAACTTGCTATCCAGTGTTATTCCTAAGAATTTCACTGAGTTCAGTTCGTGTAAGGAATGTCCATTCAATCTTATCAGATTACTATAATCGTGACGAATATTTTTCGGTAAGAAAGTCATAAAAACACTTTTATGAGGATTTACAGTAAGTCCGTTGCTCACGCAGTACTGGTGAAATTCGGCCACACTTTCATTAGCGACATCTATGAATTCTCTGTTTTTCCCACTAATGCCAAATGTAGTATCATCAGCATACGCCACTATTGAATTTAAGGTTAAACATACTTCCTTTATGTCATTCACAAATATAATAAACAATAATGGGCCTAAGATGGAACCTTGAGGTACTCCAACACTGACATACGTTACGTCAGATTTGGAATTCGCAACTGTAACAATCTGTTTCCTATCACTAAGATATGATTCAATCCACTTATTAGTAATACCACGAATTCCTATTCGATGAAGTTTCTCGATAAGAAGAGCATGATTGATGGTGTCAAAGGCTCTTGTGAGATCAAAAAATATAGTTACCGGTTGTAATTTACTATTCAATGAATTATAAATGAAAGTGGTCAATTCACTAATTGCTGATAATGTAGATTTCTTATTCCGGAAACCGTGTTGATGAGATGAAATGAGATTAAATGATTCTAAGAAATCAACTGCTCTTCTGTTATAACACATTTCAAATATTTTTGCTACTTGGCTCTGTAGGTTAATATTTCTATAGTGTACGATTTCATTTCTCGCACCTTTATTTTTAAGCACTGGGATGGATTTGGATATTTTCAGGCTGTTTGGATATTCACCCTTCAAAAAAGATTCATTTATGAGATAAGAGAGTGGGATGCATATGATGTTGGCTACAGCACGAAGAATGTCACCTCTGACATTCCTCCGTCACCTTCCGTGCGGCTCATTTAGCCATATGACATCCTCTATTTCTGATAAATTAACTCGATAGAAACATCCAAATCAGACTGACTAATGGGATTAATATAATGGATGACCATAGACATAGTGAATCTGAAAAAATTATTTTTACATATCAGTATTACTATCTTCATTTCGGGTCTACATTCAATGACGAGTCATCGGTAAATCATCAAGACGAATAAACCTCTGAAGAAGCTAGCCACTTGTGCTGGCGAAACGTTAGGATGCAGTTCCAAACTATGACGACTTTCAAACCCGAATGAAGATAGTAGCACTGAAAATCTCAGCTGCGAAAGCCTTAACCTATTTTTCCAACATTTGTTAAAACCAAAGCCCAAAAACAAAGTATTTATGATCCAAAACTAGATAGTGCTGTTTCGACCTGCCAAAGTGTCATCAGTGGTTCCAACTATGGGTTCCAACTATGGGATCGAAAGAAGACTTAATCTACAAATATCAAAGATAAATGTCGCTCCGCAAGAGGTATCATTGCAAAGCCCAGCTTCAACTTCGATCACTGAACCAAAGAAAGCTACAGTGACTGACAGGGGACGAATCTCGATTGGCGGTCACCTTTACTTTCTCAGGCTTGTCCTTTGAGGTCAGGCAAGTCACGCAATGCATTTTTGGTGCAACCCAGCACCACTGATGACACCTCTAGCGGGTCCAAACAGCACAATCTGGTCTAGATCACAGATACTTATTTTGTGAGCACTGGTCTGACCTAGTTGCCTTTCGATGAAAGCTACAGTGGAAAGCAAAGGAATCAAATGCAGAAGTCGTCCAAGCTTGGCAATGGGCCTCCATTTTCAACTGCTTTCTTTTCTCAACTTCAAAGATTTTATGTTTCTTCGACTCTTGTAAACAGATATACCGAAATCCCTTTTTGTGTTAGTAGCTTTTTCTAATAAATATTTTTCAATAAATTTTTTTCATTCTGCATAAAAATAATTTCGTCCACAGTTTTATGTTCTCAAATTCGGTATTTACAGACAAGCGCTAAGAAAACTCCTTTTCAGTATAAGCCAGCTGTTATTCAACAAATTATGCTACATTGAATAAAAAATCAAATTCTGGCAAACAAAATTGATGAAGAAGTATATTATAGACATAAAAAAAATTGGAAACAAGCGAATTTAATTTTATGAAATACGTTCATTGAGTCATTGTGTTCTTTCTGTCGAAGAAAATAACTTCAATTAACGAACAATTATGGATTTCTATTTTGTTTTAATTGTTATAATTCAATGCCACTTTTTCGAATTAGGATTTATAAAGTAAAGAATTGCTTTTGTCTTTTTTCCCACCCCCTATATCTTTCATAGGTTATCCTTTAAGAAGTATGTCAGATTAATCCTTACATAGTCTTAAGCTTTTCCATAAAATTATCACCGGAAATGAGTCCGTATTCTCGAGATAACGTATTCTCGAGATTTTCATGACTACATAGTATTTTGAATGATGATCTGTTATCAATTTTTTTAACCGCCCTTACTTTCCATTATAGTTATGACCCCCAGTTTTCAATATATTAGATTACCATTTCTGCCATAATGCAGCCCAAACTCCAAATATCAATACCTGTGCAGTACATTTTGGCACCCAATAGCAACTCCGGTGCCCTATACCACATTGTGACAACTTCGTGAGTATATGTTCTAGTGGGAAGTGAAAAAGACCTGGACAAACCAAAATCTGCCAGTTTGATGTGCCCCTCTTTATCAACGAGTAAATTTTGGGGTTTCAAATCTCTGTGTAGTATCCTGTGAGAGTGCAGGTAGGCCAAGGCTTCCACAAGTTGTTTCATATAGCTCTGAAAAAGTGACTGTTAATAATTGTTTCCAGTGAAAGGTTTTTATATTATACTATTATTGAAAACAGTACATTATTCAATGAGCAATGTGGTCAATACTCGTGAGAATAAAGTTTGTTAACGCGAGCTGAAGGCGGGCGTCGTGAATCATTCGTGTGAGTAATGGCCATTTCTCTAGAGTAGAATACTATACTTTTTCTATGACTCATATTTCATAACTAGAAGCACCTTGAAATCTTTCAAAAATACTTCCTAGTTTTGTTTCATTCAACTTCAAATAATTTTCAAATTGGGTATTTAAAAAAATTAAAAACTTCCGTCTGACAGTGGGAAGTGAACCCAAGACAATGTTTGAACAGATGTTCAATATTTCTGTATATTTTATGCGGTCAAAAATGGAATTTGGAATTTTCAGTTTTTCCGTATATTTTCGATCCAAAAGAGCAAGTGGATATTTTTGGATATTAGACAATAGTATCTCAAAAATAAGCGACCTGTCCCAACTTCCCACGAGTAACATTGTCATATTTCAACCAAATCCGTTTGGTAGTTTAGGCAGACGCGATGGGGGACTTTGTTATGTAGTGAAATGCACACCTCTATGTATTTTATGTTTGTTCATGTTTTATTATAATATACACCTTGAATACATATGTATGTAATTTTTCAAATGTGTTGTTATAGAAAATCATAATAGCTATATGATAGTTATATTTTGTGTGAAATTTTCAGTGTGCATAACTGATTCTTCTTATCATAGACAAATATCTATTGGTAAACTGGGTTTAGAAGAACTTGTGATTTAATTTGGATGCCATAATAATTATGGATACATAAAAACACCTAATGCTGAATTTCCATTAACAAAATTAGTGAAAAAAGTGAAAAACCACAATAATCATACATTGAAATGAAGATAGACGCTAAATATGAGCACCTGTTATCGTCTAAAAAAGTAAGTACACTAAATAATCAGTATTTATTGGAGCACCAGAATCGTAAAAATTCTTACAGAAACATATAAGCAAAACACAAACAACCTGCATGATTGGAGCAACCTACATGGGGCTTTCTAGGTAAAATAAAATTGGGAGAAAAACTGGAAGACCTCGTAGACAAATTATATAACTTCTAGTGATGGATATGTATACCAATTCATACCTTATGGTGGAAAAATCCTCAAAAAGTCAGAAAAGAATTTGGTCTTGGTGAAGAGGTTGTTATTGATCCATTGAAAGTGCTTAAAACTAGATCAGCTCATAAGATTTATTTCGACAACTTTTTCACAAGTTATAAGCTACTAGTTCACTTGAAAAATGAAGGATATTTTGCAACTGGAACTGTACGCGAGAACAGGATTCTGAAATGCCCATTAGAGAACAATAAAACTATAGGAAAAAAACTGCGTGGTAGTATGGATTCCCGTTACGATCACGTGAATGAAATTGGCATAGTACGTTGGAATGATAATTCCGTGGTAACAGTAGCAACCAATTGTGAATCTGTGCAGCCTCTTGTATCTGTGAAAAAGTACAATTGAAAGAAGAAACGCGAAACTTTGATTCTCCAACCTCACATAATTGCCAGATATAACAAATATATGGGAGGCGTTGATTTACATGATAACGCAACCGCAAACTATCAAATCAATATTCGTGGGAAAAAATGGTGGTGGCCATTGTTTATAAACATGTTAGATTCTTCTGTGGTGAATGCTTGGAAACTTCACCGGCTTGTATATAGTGATAAGCTTATTTCGCAGCTGGATTTCAGGTACGAACTTGCACGAAGCCTCATGAGTACCAACAAACGTAGGGCACAATCTATCCGAGGACGTGGTTCCACATCATCTCTACCATCTTCTGTCAGACTCGATAATGTTGGTCATGTAATAGAAAAAAATTCAGAGAACTGGAGACGACGATGCAGGTTATGTAAAAGCACACCGGTTTTCATGTGCAATAAATGTAGAATTCCACTACATTCGAACTGTTTCAAGAAATATCATGAATAATATTTTGAAATTTTTTATGTATTTGTTACCAATGTTGCGTTTACGCAACTCAAAAAAATATTGTTTAGTTTATTATTTTTTTTTGTTCAAACCCCAGAGATGTTTTAGTATATATGAATAAATATGTATATGTCAAAAAATTGGAGATTTTTCTGAAAATATTGGTAGTGGTTTTAAATGGGTTAAGAAAATAGGACGCAGATTGATTATCCAGTAAATTTATTACACTTTAGCAGATTATCAATTGATTTACCTTCATTTATTATTCAGATTGTGGAAAGTTAAATGTCCAAAATACATCAAAAAATTATTAATTGCGTGCCTGCAAATTTAGTTATGCAACATCGACTCTAAGTTTATCAATGAAAAGATGTGGTAGTCGTCTTGTCCAAAAAAAAAAACTAGGATAAATTATTGTCCTTGTAGTATTCCACTATTCGAAGTGGTTTTTTGTACCAACATGTTATCCCTAAAGGCTTTCACACACAGCAAATTACTTTTAAAAACGTGTTTTGATTACAATGTAGAGAGATTTTGAGAAAAACCAACTGCTCTAGTACATTAACAAAATTTTACTGCAAAATAATGCATTGTCTGTCCCATGTACGTACTGAAATAGGTTTCTCAATATTAACAGTATCTTAAACATACCTCACTTACCGTCAGTCCAAATTTTGCATATTGTGACTTTTGACTGTTCCTCAAAAAAAAGTTTTCGTTCAGTTGCTAGAAATTCGGGAAGACCAGTCACATGCCGTTAAAATTGCCACAAGGTTCTCGAAAATGATAATTTAGAGAAAATATTTAAAAACTGGGAGGAATTATGGTACAAATCTATTTGAATGAATGGATATTACTTTGAAGAAAAGCATATAAATTCAGAAAGTTGAATATTTGAAAATGTTCGTATTCGTCTAGTTTTTAATAGTCCTCATAGTTTAGATGAAAAGTTAGAGATTGGTTACAATTAGTCATCAACAGCTTTTTAATCATACCCTAACAAGTTCTGCTTCCATAGTCCATCGTGTGTTATCAAGATACCTTTTCAAATCCAAATCCAAATATTCGAAAACAAGGTATAGCTTATCGGTAGTTTGCATAACATCTAGTAATTCTACTATGGAAGAATGTCGAAGACCTTTGAGGAGACTTATTTCACGTATTGCTGTGGGAGGCACTCCTTCAGAATCCCCATTGTTGTAAAACCTGTTAAAAAAAATACATATTTTGTTTCTGCCCTACATATTGATTTGAATAACTCAACAATAAATTCACCTTCTCACACTTATAATATAAAACAGTTATTATTTACAGTTTATTATGAAATTTTTGCACAAGCCAATTCCACGTGCTGTTGTCACAGTGTTGCCAAATCGAACACTAGAATATCAGACTCTACTTTGTTCACACACCTCGTATATTGTGGTCAATAATTATCGCTCAGTTAAAGTGAATTCCTAAAACTATAAAAATTTGTCCTACATTGAAATGCTTGTAACTATTCAATAATTCAATTGTATAAGAATCTTACAACATAATGATTTAGCAAATAAACTATGACCATCCATTAATTACGACCTATTCTATAAAAAACACAAAATGAAATAGAATGAACTATTTTTTCTTTTCTCGATATATAAAAAACAAGATATGAATATATTTTGGATTAGACACCGTAGTAAGGTTTAACAAACAGATAAATTTTTAAATTTGTATTGTAAATTAAGGACAAAATGGCTTTAATATCAAATTATTGATAGCGTGAGGAGGGTAGTGGTATCAAAAAACCACAAATTTCAAAAATATTATTCTTTTCGTTACATAAAATATAATTTGTTTTCTTTTCATTACAATGGATTGAAAAAATATTTGTTACCATTAAGGAGAATTAACCAAGAAGCTAAATTCCTCTTTATTTTATATTTTGTGCAAAGAAATGATTGCTTTAAAAAATAATATTATAAGGTTCATTGAATAATATTAAATTCAGGGATAAAAAGATGTTGTGGATAACGTATATTTCAGAATCCATTATGGAATATTTAGCTCAAAAATTAAAAATGAATTATGCATAATTGCATATCCTTAGAGAAGTTGTTTCAAATGGACTTCCAGTTTGTATAAGAAGTTTCCCATTAATGAAGGAGTACAATCACAATAAAATATTCCCAGGCAATAAAATCATTTGCAATTTAAATTGAAAAATGATCTCAATTCAACTTTTGAATATAGCTTATAGAGAATATAAATTCTGAAGGCTGTGAAGGTTGTTAAAGCTGCATTGTTGTTAATGAAAAAGCGTTTGTTTTTTAACACAAAATAGGGATTTTAAGACCAAGTGAAAATCTTCAATATTTTTTAAACCGTCTATCAAGTCTATCATATTTTATACTGTCAATAAGACATTAGATTTTATGTTGACCTATGAAAACTTTTTATGCAGAAGACCTGGGTGAAGTTAACAACTTAAATTGAAAATGCTTCTTAGGTTTGGAAATAATTACAAAAATAAACAATATGGAAGAAAGGTAACTGAATGTTTGCACTATCGACAGTGTTTTGATATGAATGAAACTTCAAGATGGTTTGGCTCGAGTTGAAACAAGGCAAACATTGATAAAACAGGGTACTTCACAGCTTTTTATAAGACATTGTTGTTTATATGAGCATCAAATAAAAATGATTCATCAATTTAGCCATACAGCTTATAACAGAAAAGGTTCCTACCAAATCTTAGACCAATATCATGAAGAATATAGAAGAATGAGGATATACTCATGCACCACTCTCAAGTTTAATTTCGAAAGTCCCAATTCCCAATAATTAATATTTATCATCTTTTACCATAAAACTCTACAACTTGTATAAGTACAATAGGTATTGAAATATTTATAAGATAATATCTATACTGGTGTATGCGTGTTGCCAACTGCTTAGATTTCTTATGACTTATATCTTGAGACTGGGTCATTAATCTACCATTAGAGAACACAAATGATTGATGTAAGGATGTTACTGTTCGCATTTCAATGGGTGATGATGAAATGATACAAAGTCAGTTTCTTACCTAGCAGTTAGTGATGATCGCGAGTAGGATCATAAGCTGAATCATGTGGTGCTACATTCAAATAACGTAGATCACCCACAAAATTCAGCGAAAAATCCCGCTCAGTATATGTATGTTAGGAAGATGGTTCATTCCTCAAAAACATTCCAGCAACTGTTAATGAAATGCATTTCGAAAGATTAGAAAAGAAACAAATCAATTTTCACTCACTTCTCCAATTTAATTCTCTTGAGAGCCACATTCTTTCCCGTTAGCTTGTTCTTAGCTTTGTAGACTACACCGTAAGTACCTTCACCAGCCTTTGCGAGTTTTATAAATCGATCCAACTTATCCATCACAAATATTAACTGAATTTCAAGTTAGGCCAAGTTGATAAAAACTGGTAGAGAAAAGCGGGAAAAGTGTATTTGTTAGGGATGCCATTTCTGTTTATTAACTCGAGCATGCGCAATTTGTAGACACTGTTGGGCATTGATTTCAGACAATGATTCTTTGGGAAGGGGAGAGACCATACATTATACGTTAAGACATCTTTTCAAGAGCATTAAATTCCAATTGGGGAGCAGTAAAATGCAAATGATCATTCTCACTACTTGAGTTTTTTAGCGAATGTGTTGAAATGTCTACTAGTCATGAAAGAGATAATGATGAATATTCGTATTTCCATGATTTAAAAACTGTTCCGAAGTAGATTCTTATATTCAGAAGTTCATATTCATGACGTCATTGTTTTTTTATTTGAATGTTATAAAAAGTGTTATTTTTTCAACTTTGAAGCGCTGAAGGAAAAAGTATCTTAAACCTTTATCAATATCTCAAATTCTAGTAAACTAACAAATAGATATGGGAATTAGCAGAATTATTTATACCAAAAAAATTCAAGGCATATTCGTATTGATCATCGAAATAGTTCTAGAACAGTGAAGCACAGTACACAGTTGAACCTCAGGTAGTTATGCGCGGTTTCATTCTGAATAATCAGTTGTGTAACTATCAAAAATCCTTGAATTGCCCCAAAGATTAACATTGCCAATATGAAGATGCATGGAAACCCTAGTGTTTTTTGCTTCGCTTTTTTTAATCAAAAACTCTTGATGCGAGAAATGAGGCTGCCCCAACCTTGTACACATGTTGATAGATGGTGCAAGAATCAAAATTTGTCACGCGTATTTTATTGGGATCTTCAATTCACGATCATAATCTGAAAAAAAATCACCCAAAATCATCGTCAAGCTGCATCACTTGAGTTGTATTCAGCACCTCAATGAAAATTAATTGGATGTCTTCATTATAGGGTAAATGCGCCTAAAGTCGGCCACTGCCGGTAGTCGGCCATTTCTTTGAATAACTTAAGATAATAAGCAATCGTTCAAAAATATCACAGAAATCTTCATATCCAGTACTCGACCGTATATTTTGTATCTAAAATCAAGTACTTTTTTCGGAACCGGCAACTCTGTCGATGTGCAGTTGTGATTTTCTGTGACGGTGTCGCTTCGTGCTCTGTGTTGGTAAGGCATTTAAGATATTTGGTAGGGGTCGTGATCATTGAAAATAGCATGTGCTTATTGTATAATGAAACTATCTGGTTATCTGATGACTGGATATGTTTCCATGGTGAATTGTTCATCTAATTTTCTATTTGAAACAAAAATCACTAAGCTATTTCATTTTATTTTGGTGTGGTCGACTACTGGAACCGATTTTTTCTATAGAATTCAGTGGTCGACCGGGCGACCGACTATTGGAAAATTCATAACAGACGAAATTGAACCTAATTCAATACTTCAATATACTTTTCTATATTACTTTAAAGGTGAATATGTTTCCTAATATTAAATCTGCGCCAAACCCAGTACTCGGCCTCCTATTGCTCTGGGAGTCACTTCAGGAAATCATGTTCCTATAATCGGCCACTGCCGTTTTCTGATCTGATTCAAACTCTTTATTGATTCTTACAGATAATGTATAAGAAAAGGCCAATTCATCAGTATTCTGAACAAGCTTTAGCATCTGCCCTCGAAGCCGTAAAAAATGGAACTTCGATTAGGTCAGCTAGTCGAGAATTTGGGGTTCCAAAAACGACTATACAAGACAGGATTAGTGGAAGAATAAAAGGGGGACCTAGAAAAATGGGACCTGAAACTGTTTTGAGTTCAGAAGAAGAATCCATATTAGTTGAATGGTTGAAAGAATTAGCCAAAACAGGATTTCCTCAAAAAAAAACAGATCTGCAGAATGCAGTACAGAAAATTATTATCGAGAGTAAACGAGAAACGCGATGATAATGACATCATTTTATACGCTCTTTCTCCTAACACAACTCACATCATGCAGCCAGCTGATGTCAGCGTTTTCAAACCACTGAAAGCTCAGTGGAAGAAAACAGTGAGAGACTGGCAGTTGAAGCCAGAAAATTCGAATAAAGTTTTGCACAAAAATTCATTCTGTCCTATACTTCAGGAATGTTTAGAATCACCTTCCCTTCCTCAGTCCATTATTAATGGATTCAAAAGATGCGGTATCTATCCACTAGATCCAGACGCAGAATGCAATGCATGCACGCAGAATGCAAAATGCATTCAAAATGGTTTAGAAAAAATCAAAATACAGATCATCAAGCGGAAATCACAGATCATGAAATTGAGATCACAAAAAAGTTTTGATAGCAGCACGGGAAAGACTTCTGCTCCAAAATATCGATAGCAATAAAATTATAACTGCTTTGGAAGACATATATAGAAATCGACAACAAGGTATATATGAAATTGAAGGCAATGAAAATGTTATCCTCATTGAATCAAATAATAATATTCTACCTGCAAATGAAACTAATTACGAGTTAACCGAGTTTGGTATAGGGACAGAATTAGAATTCGACATTGAGAATTTGAGTATCGATATTTTAGATAGTGAAACTTATGAAACATCAAAGATCGAAAAGCAAAATGAAAATGGGAAAGAAAGCATCAACATAGACCATGAAGTTTCTGATGCAGACCATGGAATATCTCCATTAAGAAATATAGAAGAAAATAAAAATGAAGGCAGGAATGCTGAAGAAATAGAAGAATCAACAGATGTTATTCACCCCGATGTAACTCAAAATATTCCCATCGAAAAACAGCAAAAATATACGGAAAATACTTCGGAAAGAGAAGAAAATCTTGATAATAATGATGATCGTCTCTTGACGAATGAAAGATGTACTCCTAGCAGCAGCGGCATCGGTGGACAAAAGTCTTTTTAGAAACTCAGAGGAAAATGGCCAAAGAAAAATTGCCCTCTGTTATATCTTCAGCCGTCTACAGGAAATTTTTGGAAGACAAGGAAAACCTAAAGAAAATCGAACAGGAAAAAAAAAAGAAACGAAAATTGATTAGGAAACAAAAAATTGAAGAGAAAACTCTTGTTAAAAAACAAAGTAAGAAGAAGAATCCGAGGGAAAATAACAAAAAAATTTAAAATAGTAAGAATAAAGGCGAACAACAGAAAATCGACGATGGAAGGGAAAATGATGAAGAAGAAGAAGAGGATGAGAAAGAAAATGACGATATGTCTTGAATTTTATGTTCTGCCTGTGAGGAAGAACTCATCAGCGACATCGAAGATGGCGACTTGAAAAATGTGGGCTGTGATCGATGCATTAGATGGTTTCACCTTATGTGCACCGAGTTCGTTGGTTTGCCGTATAATCAAGTGGCTGAGAGAGATTTCACTTGCTCCTTCTGCTCTTGAAAATGAAAATGTTTTTATGTTATTTTATTTATTTTTTCAACTTTATTTTACTCATTTTGTGTTCTTCGTACCAAATATATACTTTAATTTGAAATAAACGTTCTAGTCCTGAAAGGTTTTAAATTTCAGAAAAGTATCGATTCGATAGTTATTTATTCAACGCCAATGAGCTACAAGGAAAAATAGAGTTGAACTGCCATTAAGTATTCAAATATGAGAAATCGTCATCCGGACGACTACTGGTTTGAACTCGGCCGACAATAAATTTTTGGTGGTCGACTACTGGGAAATCGAATTGATTTGAAAATTATTATTTTTTATTATTCTCTGCATTCAGAAATGAGTGGTAATTATAGAAATCGAAAATACAATAACCTAGGATTGCTACATAAAAAATGTGAGGTCGTATCTTTTCAAACATGATTTTTAATTGTGCGACGTTTCAAATATTTGGCTTAACTGGCTACCGGCGCATTTACCCTATCTTTATCAAGAATGCCATATGTTGAGAGTTTTGACAAAATATTTTACATGTAAACGGGGTCGAAGTGGGATATTTTTTGCATCTTGGACCGTATTAACAATTTTGACAAACATTTTCATTCCTCTAGTGATAAACTAAATTTTGGTTCTGTAGTTCCTTCATTACTCCATTTCAAAAATACCGTCGATATCAATATAAACCGTAGGCCATAGAGTCTATGTTAACGGATTGTAGCCAAATATATATCTATGACGGTGGGAAAATTGGTCTTACACATTTAAACCGCATGCGCAAGCAACATTTGACGTTCATCAATCAATAATTTTTATCGTTATCCAAAAGTTTGATAAATGATATGCTTATTAGTTCTTACCACATAAATATATTTTTGTAGAACTGTTAAAAAAACTTGACAATCCAGCATCTCTATCAATGTGTACCTGTTTACTTTTTCTCTCCGTGAAAAAAATTCATTTTTTCACTGCCAAAATAATTCCGTACAGTCTATCTCGTTTTGTGTTTGTAAATCTTCTGCTGGAGAATCCTCACTTGTTTACTTTATTATTTGTATTTTGGAAGTGTTTTCACATAAACACATCAAGAAAAATCAACATGAAATATTACTTTTCAAAGGATTTATTTTCAACAGAGTCAATTATGAATTGATTATTCATCATAAAACAATTTCATTTATTGGAATAATAATACTCGAGTTTGAACAATTACTTTCAACATCCATATAGCTTTTTGAAAGTAATAACTTGAAATTGAAGCAACTACGAGCACAGTCAAATACGCGGCGTGCCAACAAACCGTTTCTATAGTTACTACACAGAAATGTCAAGTTTGTTTGACAGTTATTCAAAAAATAGTTTTTTATTTGCTGTTTCGGCCGTTTCCGAATGAAACTTAGTCAGATAGATAGATATAAGCAAATAAAAATTCAAAACAGCGAAAATTTCAAATGCTTTTTTATTTCGCCAAAATCGCTGGATTTTGGCATCAATATGTACTTCAATGCTCTTTACTCAAGAAAAATTGTTTGTCCAAAATACATTTTTTGTATTATTTAGTTATTTTGGACTAATTTTTTCAAACAGGAAAAATTTTTCACTGCGATTTTACTGAAAACATTGAATAATATTCTCAAGACAACAGTCGTTTAAAAGCGATAACTCATCGGGCCAAAAAACCACGTCAAGATGTGCTGGAAGTATTTATTTTTAATATATTTCAGACGATGTAAATTCACCTTCACAGTTATACAAAAAATTTTGTTTGGGTTTCGTTTACAAAAATTCGGGTTTTCATGGCATATTCGAGAGAATTTTCAGTAATTGTGACATCGCTTGTAGCCACGCCGCTGGACCTCAATCAGATATTCAGTACAGAAGATGGTTAAAACTTCCACAAGTTCGAATTTTGACTGTGAAATACAATATATATATATATATATATATATATTGAGTCCATATCCAATAAAAGACATTCTCTAGAACCCGAAATCAACCTTCTTCAGTTTAAAATTTGAGTGATCAATGTGAAAGCCTCAGAATCAAAACAAGATATGTTTCATGAAACCTGTGAAAAATTTAAAACATTTGAAAGGCCTCGGGAAAAAATAGATATTCAATGGTTATAAAAATCAACACTCACCCAAAGTAGTATTTAGATACATCTATTACACCAAAAATTATAGTTTTCTGCATCATAATCAAGGAACATAATCTTTACTGTGTGTGCTCATCAAAGTCTAAATTTTTAGCACTCTAATATTGGAGACCATACAAAATACCGTCTATGACATTCTCAGTCGTAACATAGTAGTCACTTCATTAGAAATGCTGCAAGATCGCTCAGGAAACGCCCCGTGGGTTACGGGTGTCAACTCGAATGCAGCCCAAGACGAAATGAAAAGTATCAAATAGAATAGTAATCAACGCGATAGGAATTGTCATTCCGGTAGTGGTTAGTGGTATCGTAGCAAAAAAACGCAGTCTATTGTCATACTCATTTCTCAGAAGTGATTTCTGGCAACACTGAATATCAATGACATCTTATTTTGAGGTTATTATTGTTATGATGTATAATAATAATAATAATGGTTATTCATGAATAAATACTAAATAGATACATTGGCATATCCTTTGAGATAATTCAAATTTTTTGGGAATATGGATTTACCTCTCTTAGTAGCTTTAGCGTCAGTAATATTTGTCCTCATTATAGGCTTGACAATATATTTAAAGAAAAATAAAGTTGCTGAAGGTAAATATTTTTGCCCATATGGTCAACTTTTATAAATGAGTTTGATTTTAGTACCACCAAGGGCTAGACCTGGACCACAAAGGGTTAGAGATGGGGCTCCTAGAAGGGCCCAGATGGCTCGAAACAGAGGTGTTAGATTGAGAGCCAATGGTATGATAACATTATCCTTTTTTCAATTTAGACGTATGTTCAGTCCACATTTCTTTTACTCATTTATTATGATGAGTTTAACAGGGTTCGCACCAAATTGAAATCCTTCACTCTTAGGAAATTACTTATTTTCCATAATTTTGGGATTATTTAAACAGCTTCATTGCCCTATTAATCAATGTTCATTATTGCTCATTCATTATTTCCAAAAAAGTGAAAGAATTTGGATTTAGTGCTGACTTCATCATTGTAAAGCTAGCACTACCCAGATTAAAAATAAACAATAAATAAAATCTGAACTCTCTTATACTTATAAAATTGTCATAGTGAAAATACCTACTTAATTATATCATAAAAAAAAATTACATTAAAAATTTGAAATGTCAGAATTGCTGTAAAATTCTTTATATCGAAATCATCATGCTACCAAATACTCTTCCAGAGATCAAATTATTTCATATATCCATTATAACATATTATTTGTTTATATGTATATGTTTGACCGAGAGTCATACTTGAAAATGGCTAATAAATTTTGTTCTCATTTCTAGTTTCACAGTAGTGGATATTTTGTTCTATTTGTTTAAAATATATGACCAGTTTAAATTTATATGGCAGGGTTAAAATCCCAGAGTTCCTAAACAACCATTTCATGATGCTCGAGGCGAGACTCTCATCATGCTTCCTAATATTTTTTTCTGCAAGATGGTCACACCTGATTTGCCTTCCCACACTAATAGCACTTACTTAAAATTGGATCATCTTCAAGAGTAAGAGGTTATTTAATTATCTTCTCATCAACTTGAGATGAATACAGAATGAAAAAAGGTTTAGAAATAAGGTTAAAGAATTTCTTGTTGTGGGGGCCTATTATAGTGAGAAAGTATATTTTGATTTGAATTGAAGGACCATAAATGTTACTTCTACTTAAAACTTTTAGTCTTTTCTCTTTTTATGATTGGAAGATTATCAACATTTGACTTATTTTTTTAACCCATTTCCATTTCAGGACACAATAATTTGTTCTCTTTGTTTATACCCATTCTAAATTTTTTATATTTCTTTTTACAATTAACATATCCCGATATTTCCGTCCTGGTATTTTTAGTATTTTCAATATTTCCCTATTTTTTTTCTCATAGATTTCAAATTTTTTACTTTTTTTAGATGGAAGTCCAAATTTCCCAAACAATAATTTCTCATATTATTTTTAGTGGCACAAGAAGATATTCAGGAATCAGAAGATGAAAACGAAGCCAATGACGAAATTGAGCTGCCTGATAGTAAGGTAGGGGCCAAAAAACGAGCCAAATTAGAAGCAAAAGCTGAAAAAAAAGCTGCCAGGGAAGCAGAGGGACTTTTACGTGCGGAGAAAAAAAGAAAAGCAGAATTAGCTGAAGATGAAAGAAAAAAAGCTGAAGAGAGGGAGAAAGCTGAAGAAAAAAGAATTGAAGAGGAGCAGAAAAGAGCTAAAGAAGAAGAGGAAAGGCGTGAACATGAGGAATATCTGAAAATGAAAGAAGCTTTCTCTGTGGAGGAAGAAGGATGTGAAGAAGGAGATGCAGGAGATATGCAAAACCTGCTTCAAGAATTTGTTAACTTTATCAAATCAAACAAAGTGGTCGTCATTGAAGATTTGGCTGCACATTTTAAATTAAAAACTCAGGCAGCTATTGATAGAATAAAAGATCTTCAAAAAGATGATATTTTGACAGGAGTCATAGATGATAGAGGAAAATTTATATATGTATCTATGCAAGAAATGGAGACAGTTGCCAAATTTATAAGGCAGAGAGGACGAGTTTCCATTGCTGATTTAGCTGAGAACAGTAATAAATTGATAAATTTAAATCCCACAGCAGTTGAATGAAAATTATTTTAAATAAATTGTAAATATTTTTTTATTCTGTCTGAATAAAATTAGTGCCTATGGGTGAGACGTTTCTAAACACCAGGAGTTTGTAGCAAAACAATAACACATTAGCAATGGGCGGTCAAGTCAGCATTATTTTTTTTGTGCTGTCCCCTCATTCAATTCATATCTGACACCTAGGTTTTTTGCAAAAGTAGTAAAAACCTTGTTTCCTACTTGTTTTTCGAGGTATTTAATATAGAAATTGTTCATACATTATAACGGTAATAATAATACAAACGCAAATGTAATAAGTACAGTAGAATCTCACTAATCCGACACTTCAATACACCGATATGTCCAGTAATTTAGGTATTTTCACCTTACACAATCTGAAAAATATGAAAATTGTAATGGGGAACTTCATACATGTGTAGAAAGGGCAAACTTTTTAGTTTACCAAGATAAGTTACTGCATATATTAAAAGTATTTTTCACAAAGAAAAATGTTCTATTCATCAGTAACTTGTATTCAATAATTTTGCCTATAAGAAAGCTAAGAATTTATACAATACTTATCTTAACGTTAAGGTGGCCAAAATGTGTCTCCGTCTCTACAAATGGACATTTAATTCTATACACAGCTCTTCCTTTGCTGATTATTTCTATTTCTCAACTTCTTCAGTAGATGTCATAAGAATTGAAAAGATTATATTTTTAGAATAGATTTGGAAAGCTTCTTCCAAAGAAAGGAAGGAAGCAATCAACTTTAGAAATAACTCTGTACATAGATGTGTAGAACATGTAACGAAGTTACTTTCAGGCACAAACTGAAAGAAAAAGCCCTCCTGAAACAGCTACTTTCATATAAACATTGAATTACACAAAAGAAACATTCTTTCGAAACATATACTTTTATATGAACACCAAATTATGCAAAAAACACTTTTCTCTACTCAGTTTGCATTCCAAACATTCGTTATGGAATTGAATCAGATATCATTCATAGGATTCCTACACAATATACTAAATGAAAGGTAAAATTTCACTTACATGGAACACTGTCATCCTCACCGGTAGGATTTATATTCCCACCATGAACCATTGTTTCTTGAGTCAAATTATATGAATAACTTACATTGGTGCCTTTTCCATTGCAGAAATACCCCCTCAGAAAAATATTATCTTTGTGAGAATCCTTATCATGGATCTCGAATAGGTTCAATACACTGAAGAGAGGTTGCAGTGCCGAGGCTGAAAGGCATACACTACCTCTTCACAGTCAACAAAAGTCAATGAATGCATCTTTATCAAATTAACATTCTTGTATATAATTTAATATCATCATGGTCGTCTATTAGTAATGAATTTTGTTTATGAATACTTTTTTGAAAAGAAGTGTCTTAGCACCAATTGCAGTACAAAAAAGATTATAATGTGAATATTTGTTTACAAATAATTTGTGTCAATGTGTTGGAAAATATCCAACACCTTTACTAATTTGATCAAACAACAAATTATCAAAAGTGAAAGTAAAATTACAAAATTTATCAATCATGTATATATTTTATTACACTTGTGAAATAACTAATCGCTCATTGATTCGTCTTCTTCTTCTTCACTTGTGACATCAGGTTGATCAACTTCCTCCTCACATTTTGAACACTGGCAAACAAAAAGATAATTTCTTGCCAGCTCCTTTCTTCGGGAATGTCTCGATCTATGTAACATACATTCATCTAAATAACTGATGAAAATCTCTTCGCCTTCTTCAATGTCTTCAGTTGCCACCAAAGATAGCCTGTTGCTATTGTGAATGAACCTAGGTTCAGCATTTGGTTTGCAGCTATGATTGCAAGCACTCTGGAGAACATAAAGAGCTACACCTTCATTGTTCAGAAAGTCACCAACTTGCATGTCCATCTGTTGGTAAAGATTGTCCAAAAACAAGTCGAAAGTTTTTCGTTCTTCTTCAGATAGAGGTAAATTTTCAACGTTAGCCGCCCACTGACTAATGGCACTTGTGCCTACTCCTTGTCCATTAGTTCCTGTAAATATAAAAATAATTCTGAATATTCAAATTGATTTCGATTAGCTTACATTGAATTATAATAGGGGAGCCCAAGGGGGATTTCGGAATTTACTAAAGTGCGGCAGATTAATTTACAAGGGGATACCTTGTACCCGGTTAAGTACCTCCACCAAATATGAGCTCCATATATAAGGCCGCCTGTGAGGGATAAAGGGTCAGATTAGTAAAAAAAAATTGATCAGAAATTCTCGAGCGCGTCAGATTAAGGCAGGGTGAGTTAATTACCTGCTAAAAAGTGTATATTCCAGTAATCTGACAATTTGAGAGTGACGTAAAGAAAGGGGAGGGCAGCAAAGTTGTAAAAAAAATAACGTCATTTCGACATTATCGAACGTAGTTAGTTTTTTTTTTTTTATTTTGAAGGAAATAATTCAAGGATAAAGAAAACTATGTGTAATCTGACGATTTCCACAAACCGAAATAACAAAACTTCGTTGATAAAGTTTAATGCGTGCAGCTATGTGATACCTATATTTCCCTCTTCGAGTTTCTATTCCTCTTTTCTCTATTCACTTTTTCTCTACCTATTACTCTCTCACTCCGTCCCCACTCTAAATTCTGAAAGCCATGAGGCCATCACAGAGACTCGTTCGTGATGAAGATTAATTAATCAATTGATGGATGTAGCCGTTACTACGTAGTAGAAAATCATAATGAAGAAAAGAAAAATTAAACTTTCTATGTTTTTTACCACTTTTATTTGTAACTAACGTTACTACAGTTTCGTCCTATAAGGACATTTTCAAACTTATACAATATATAAGTACATTTTCAAACTTATACAATGCAGTAACTAACGTTACTGCAGTTTCGTCCTATAATTATATCAAGTAAATATGGTGAGAATATCTGGCTATAAGTTTTTTGTAGATGGCTCATTAGAAAACTTCGCCAAAATAATGAAATTTGCAAAAAAAATTGTGGTGTGATGAAAGTAGATTTACTAATAAAGGATGATTCAACAGGGCAAGACAAGAAAATGAATATGTATTTACATAATGACATAGTTATTTACATAGGGTTGCAGTTTCTAACTTTTCCTTTCAAAATTTGAGCTGAATTGTACTTTATGGAATACCCACGGATTTTCACGTTTTTTTCTAGTATGACACTACATGATGGTAGTATCATCCCAGGCGACTCAAGATTTGTCTATTGCAAAAAGCATACTACTCTGTGGGTGAGTTTCTCCTTGAATCCAGATTTGATTGTAGCTTATTAACTTTTTTATGTATGTTTTATATTGACTTTTTTATGTTGGTTTGACCTGTTGAATCAGCCTTTTTCCTATCCCTTTTCTAAAATACATGAGGTTTTCAATTTAGTAGGTTAAGTTAGATGTTGAGAAAAAATAGTTTTTTCAAGGTTAAATATTCAAAAATATGTTCCTTCATGTTGTTCAGTTATTCTCTTTTTCTCAATATTCAAAATGTCAGTACTGAAAAAAAAAAAGACGTAATTTTGATACTTTGACAGGCTATATCTTGAAAACTAATTGAGTCCGAGTAAAAATAAAAAGTGTTCTGAATTCCTACCATCTTATAGTATCATCCCAGAAAAAATCGTGAGAATCCGGGAGTATCCCATAAAGTACAATTTTCCCAAAATTCATTTTCAAGATTTTTTCAATATATTTTTTAAAATGGTATTTTTGGAAATGCTATTTCTGCCAATGAAAGCTATTTTGATATGTATTAGCCCCTAATATAATTTTTGCAGAATGCAAAATAATGAATTAATCAACATAACTCTACATTTATTCAAGTTTTACTATTAGCATGAGATCTGTGATCTTCTTTCGCATTGACGTCGGATTTGGCTGTGATTCTGGAGATGACACACGGGAGGATGAACACAAACTCTCACTTGACTATGATGCTGCATCTATATAATGCTTAGAATTCACATGCATGTGTAATCTTTTGATCGACCAAGTGGTGATATCAAGTATATTATTGCACTGTTTATATTTTGCAGTAAACCCATCATTAGATTTGAGAAGATGCTCCCAAAAATAAGAATTACATGAAAAGTCATTATATTGCACTGAACTTGACATTTTTATGTTTAATTATAGCAGATATCACTGTATCAATAAACTATACAGAAATAGGAAACAGTCAATAACTTGAGTTATTACCCACAATACCGAGGTCTCAGTAAATGGTTTCCAGAGTAGTGAAGCAAATTCTTAAAAGTTGGGACTGAGAGATCTGAAATTTGTCAATATTGATACATTTTTAAAACAAACCTACTTTCCACAAAATACACAACTAACAAGTTTTAGATTAATTATATTCGGCAAATCAAACCTGAAATAGTTTCCGTTCCAAGTTGTCTAACAATCATATCTTTAAAGTGGTAGATTCTCATTACTTGGGTGTACAATTGCTACGAACATTTCTGAAATATTATATTCCAGAAGTTTTAGCACCTGTAAATGTTATTTGAACTTTCACAAGGTATGTGGAATTTTTGTATACCCAGCGAATTGGTGTAGATGTTTTATTTTATTTGGAAATATATCAGTTCAACTGAAATTCATGTCTTACAGGTCCCACCTGCGAGAAGTGTATCCGACCTAAAAAGGCACCATTCTTGAAACAATTTTCTATAATCCAAACAGATACTTCCATAATTTAATGTTAAAATATCAACTCAAAGCCAGAATATTATTGATGTTAGACTGTTCTTAGGAAAAATGTTGAATTAGTTTCTCATTTCAAATTAAATGTCCATAATCAGTGCAGTTAGATCAAAGTTGCAAGTACTGTATGCTGCTGCTAAAATTATATTACCTATCAATGCCAAAAGGCTCTGGAATCCTTCAAAAGTTAAAAACTGTTCAATTCCTTCATGTGGTATGCTAGCAACCATCAAATTATGTAAAAATGGGAGCTGATCAGCAAATTTTTCTCCTAAGAGTTTATGTGATAAATCAGCATCCTCATTACTCGTGCGATGGCAGAACTGAAGGGTTTGTGATATTGCTGTGGCCTTATCGGAAGACTGAAGAATTCTGGCTAGAAGGCGAGTAATCAGTAGAATATTATTTGTTTCAGGTGGGTAGTGGACTTTTCTAAAATTAAACAAATATATTAGCATCTCATTTAAGTTCTCTTGTATTTTGTACCAAATATATACTCACTTCCAGGCTTCATTCAGCTGTTCTAGCGGATGGAAGTTGGATCCATCAGATGACTGAGTACACAAAGTTTGATGATACTGTTTAAAAGCATCAGATCTACATTCTTCTGAACAGTACTGTTTGCAACAGCTTGGGCATGAAACAAATTTACTTTTGTCGGTTGTACAACATTCTAAATAGGGCAATTCTACACACTGCCCTGTTAACCTAGAAGCATTTTCTTGAGCTGTTTCCAGTGGCCTACAAAACAGAGCTAGTAAAGGGATACTCCTCTAGTTAATATAATTCACCTCAGACAATGATCACAAGCCAAATAATGATAAGCGCTATTCCAAGCTAGCTGACATGAAACTAACGGATCCTCTTCAAAAATTACTGATCCAACAGATATTGCCCTTTTAGCCAACAAACATTTTCCCTAAAATAGTTATGAGAAAATATTGTTCACTCGAATGAATCAATAACATACCTTTGAATTAGTTGATACTCTTACTTCTACATTCATTTTATGGAGTCTAGATTCAAATATTTTTCAAATCATAAGGGTTATGATACTAAAGAAATAAAAATGAAATATTAAATAACCTGAATCATACGTCTATGAAGAAAACTGAAAATTGTGGTTAAGGAAAAATCTCAACTTCAATCTTCTTCTTTATTCGAAAAGTGTGCATACACAGAATTGCTTGCTGTGATGAGACATCCATTGACCCACAAACTAAAAAGGGATTCAAATTCAAACCGTTGAGGTGACAAATATGGCTAATATACCGGTAACGTTCTGGTTCTAATTTCTGGAAAAAAGAATATGAATGTAAAATCATTGTTTCATTTTTGACTTTTGAGGAATGATATGAATGAATAGTTGAACAAATTATTGTTTCACAGTTCGTTTGTGTATTATCTTGAAGATATTCATTATAATAATTAAACAATTTTCCCATTTTTTTATTTCTAGACGCGTTTGACTTCCTTCTTACTGAGAAAGCTACGATATTAGCGAAACGCGTCTAGAAATGGACAAATATTGATGATTATTGTTTTATTATCATCATGGATAGTGTTATTAATTTTCATCAATTAACGGGTCAGTTCATGCATATCTCGAAGATAGTTTATGTATGTTTTAGAAGTTTGGAAGCGAATATTCCAGAAGAAATTACTATTACTTGAATTCAGAGAAACTGAATCATTGAAAAAGGAAACTGTACCACCAGTTTTTTATTTGAAACATTTCAAAATTCCAAGAAAACACAGCGTTGGTGGTTCGAACCGCAAGGTCGAACGATTGATTTTCACTTTCTATCGTCCAATCCGTGTTAGAAATCACAAGTTAAAAGGTAAGACCTCTTCAGTCCTTAGCTCGCACAAGTTTCGACTTTTGAGAGTTGTCGTTCGTAGGGGAGCGACAACTGGTTAACGGAAAAACAGATTTCTACAGAATATTTCTAATTCAAATCAGAAATCAGTTGAACACGAGTCGACCTCAGTTGTTTAACAAAGACGTTGGGGTCGCTCGTTAAACTGGGAATAGTGGGCAAGTATTACTGATATTGCCGCTTCGTCGATGCTTAAATTATGCCACTTCAGGAAAACGTGTTGATAAAGCAGTGTTTATACTTGAGGCTAACCAAATCTTCGGTCCCCTGAAGCTCGTCACTCAGAGCACAAGCAAGGGCACACAAATCTGCTGTTGTACAAAAAACCCTCGCGGTGAAAATTGGATCATCTGGAATCAACTTCGGCAGCGGCGTTCTTTTCGGATTAGTCGACTTTAAAGACATTTTACTAGTAATGCAAGACTCTGCTAACCCAGCTAATGCCGCACAGAAATCTGAAGTAAAACCATCAGGCACCTGTACAACGTGTTCCATTTGGAAGATTCGTCGTTAATAATTTCCTATATATGAAAGGCCGAAATTAATTTCATTCAGTCGGGACGACCACCAATAGGCCGGTTTGAGAGTATTAGCTTCTCGTCAGTACCGGGAAGGTCACTTCAGACGAAGTGAATTGTCTGAATAAGTGAACCGAGTCAGCAACAGGAGCCTACTGCACACACTTGTGTTTCCAGTTAGAAGAGCTAGAATTGCTAGGATATCTCCAACATTACCATGGAGGCAGCTGCAGCTACCTTCAGAAGTCTGACCAAGAAAAATGAACACTACCTCTCAGCTGTATGGAAAAATTCCACGTCACAATTAGAGCCTACGGCAGCGTATTGACAAGGACGACTTCACGCTCAGTCGATGCTAGTGAATGCTCCATGGTTCATGCAGAATGAAGCCATCCGCAGAGATCTGAAGCTGCCTTCCATAAAGCAGTTCATTTAGTTGAGGAATCAGATAGTTTCGAATTTGCAGACACTCAACGAATCAGTTGAAAAAAGCTGATTTGCACTTATAATCACATCTAGCTATGAATAAATAATAAATAATCAACCCGAAAAATCCCCGTGATCAAATAAGGTTTGATCATAAAGCGATGCCTTTACCATTCGTCCTCCAAAATACCTTCCGTTGAGGGCATCTCGTGCTTTTTCTGCCTCTGAAAGAAATTCATGTGTCAAATATTGGGAATACAATTTTCTAAAAAGCTTACCATAGGTCTCCATGAATTCCACAAATATTTTTACAATCATATCAGAATCATCGTCTTCTGTCTGCTTTTCATTATATATTATTACCCTGTCTACAGCTCCAAATTTGGAACACTCGTCCTGGATTTCCACTTGAAGACATTCGTCAACATCCTCTGGACCAACCATATTTCTTGAAATAAGAAAATTGACATTTCAATAACAGATTGCTATTATGAGAGTTTGTTAGAATACAATTTTGGCCAGTATACATTAAGTATCACTATAAATTTTCACCTAAAAAAGGGGACAAGTCTTGTGTCAAAAGCTCCAACCCATTCGGTGGGCCAGCCATTAACCACTGACCACAATCATATGAGATTCTCACTTCACCCGGAGCGGAAAACCCACGACGAATATCATCTTACCTTGCTGATTGAGGAACTCTGCGACAGGCTTTTCAGATTTTATTTACCTGAGGGTGGGAAATGGGTAAAGTAGTAGTTCTAATAAATTCGTCAAGAAGCAAAAAAACATTAATTATTAGTTTTCACCAAAATTTATGTCTCCCCAAAGGCCCTGCACATTCGAAAGGCACTCTGGCATCGTCAACCAATATCACCACCACACAATCGGCTCATTGGAGCCGATTGGACGCAATGAGCCGAGATTGACAGCCTTCTGCATTTTTATGTCCAAAATGTCTAACGCAAACGAAAGGATCTATAATGCATCCTATAAAATTTATAATTGTTGAATATAATTTAGATAAATTATAGAGCTAGACAAAATACGAAGTTCAACTCAGCACAAGTACTACTGAGTTGTTCTTCTACTCAACCTCAAAAAGATTTTACCTAAGCTAAGACAAAAAGAAAGTAATACATGAAAAAAAAATTGGAATTGTTCAAATATCTATTAAGATGCTGGAAAAGACGTCCATTACTGAGACTTATTCTGGTCTCATTTATTTAATCAGTGACAAAGTTGTGGTTACCTCATTCAATGTTGAAACAAACATCGGCCGCTAAGGCATTGCCTTGTTGAAATTGCCCTAATTCCTGCTCTCTCATGATGGATTATGTTAATAAATTACTATTATCATAATTTTGTTCAAATAGAAACCCATAATTTTATCTTTGTTTGGTTAGCCAGTATAAACTACAATTTAGCAAACTGCGCTCTTTCCAGTTCTTCAGAATTTTTCAGAACTTTACTCTCATATAAGGTACTTTGTTCAAAATATTTTACAGCTTATCGTTTGTGTCAGCTACTTTGAATGGTTCATGGTTAGAACCAATATAATACACTGTATGTTATAAATATAGAGCTCACCTTAAAATAACTACCCTAGAATCTACTTTTCTCATCAACTTCTGCATAACAAAGTGTCGGGCATTTTGTCCTTTTATCGACATACTCTCTTGCTGTTGCAATGTCTGAGGTTCGTTTTGGTCCAACAATTTCTTCTGCAACTGTTCCTGTTGTTTCAATTGTGCCTCTTGAACCCTCTTCATCGTTTCCAAAGAAGCTGCTTGAGACTGATTCAAGATTGGGGTCACAACAGCAGGTGGTGGAACGATAACCTGAAAATATAAAATTAATATCTATTGGTACTAAGAAACAAGTGTTTATAACTAGGAATGTAATAAACGATGAAATAAAATGAAGATATTTGTTTCGGGTCCAGAAAAGATAATTATCATCAAACTAGAATCAATTATGGTATTGCAATAAGTGGAGGCTCGAATCTGCACATAATACGTCTAATTCAACACATAGCATGTTTTTAATTGAATTACTAAAATTTCATCTGATGAAGATTTCAACAGTGTTTTTTTCATTCTGATAGAAGTGAAAAATGTTACTGAACAAAAGTATTTTGTTGAGGAAATCAGAGTTACTTTCTTCATCTGTTCGTAAGTAAAATATTAATTTTTTTTTAAATTATGGAATGTGAAAATATCCTGAAAAGGACAATGAAAAACTAAAAAAATATTTTCACAAAACTGTAGCATGCCAGAGTCGAGCTTTGTTCTAAAAATATGCATGTGAAAGAAATACTTGTGTTTGAATATTTCTAACATCGTTAATGTTCAAAGTTGAAATTCATAAAAGTATTTATTGAAAGTGTATTATGGACTGATGAAAAGTATATTCAACAAATGAAATTAAATATGTGAATATAAATTTGTTTACCTGTGGTACATTGCTAATCATTGGTGTAACGATAGCTGGCTGAATAATATTATTCTGGGTTATCTGTGGTATGGCAATGCCTGGAGGTGGTATAACCGCTGGAATGGATCCTGCTGGTACTGGTAGGGCTAACGATGGTGTTGTTACTATAGTGGGTACAGTAACAACCGGTTGTGAGATACCAGCAACTGAAGGAGTGGGTGTGGCTGTCGGAATGCTTGATGCACTGCTAAGATTTGATAAACCCAATGCCACCGCATTGCTGGCAACTGCGTCCATAGCTTGAATTTTTGCCGTTGCTGCTGCCGCCGCCACTATAAATTTCAAATTATTTGCATGAATCAGTTCAAAAAGTCATATCAAAAAGAAAATATGTATACTGGTTAATTACAACATGGCAATTAATGGGATAAAAAAAGCTACTAATGGATTTTCCAATTGTTTACCTGCTGCAGCTGTGGGCAAAACACTAGATCCAGATGACGGTCCTAAAAGTGCGTTAGGGGGAGTAATAGCTCTTCCTACCCTCAAATACTGTCCACCTAAATCAAACAGGTTCATGCTGGCAATCGCCTCATTGGCTGCTTGAGCACTTTCATATTCGATAAAGCCATATCCTTTATGCTTGTGTCCCGAGCTTCCTTGCACAAGTTTACAGTATATGATGGGACCAAATGCCTCAAAAACACTGGAAATATCAAAATATTAGAAAAACGAAATATTGAATCTTACTATTTCAGTTGATGATCCTTTTTATATTATTGATATTTTAATAACCTGTTTTTTATATTTCATCTGAACTCTACACTACAGACTCACTTCCATACGATTCTCTAGGGGGAACTTTTAGAAAAAACTTAAATCCAGCATTAATAGGGAAAAATGTTTACATGTTTGCCAGAATACTTCAAACCTGTATGATGAGGACACATAAGTTGTCTAACTTATAGGTCTTTAATCAATCAAATTATATAGAAATTGTGTTCATTTTGTGAGATTTTTCATTATTTTATTGAAGGTGGATTCATGCTCAAGATGCCACAGTAGACATGGAAAAAGTTAAGAGCTGATGCGACTCAAATAGGCTTTCTTTAAACTTTGATAAAACCCATCTCCTCACCTTCAAATGTGAACTCCCACCTCTTAGTTTGAATAACAGCATTCTCGAGATGAAATTGTCCTCCAAATTCTTAGGACTTCACATTGATAATAAGCTTAAATTTGAAGATCATATTATCAAGTTGAATAAAAAACTTGCATCTGGCTGCTTTGTAGTGAAGTCAGTTTCAAAGGAACTGGGTAGAACCTTTGCAAGATCTGCGTACTTTGCCTTTGTGAATGCACATATAAGATATGGTATTGCCTTCTGGGGAGTATGCAGCAAAAGCATGCTGCAGACTGTTTTCGTTTTACAGAAGCGAGCTGTCGGGTATGTGTGTGGGGCAAAGTTCCAAGATCACTGCAAACCATTATTCATTGAACAACGAATTCTGACAATACTATCTCTATTCATTCTTGAAACAGTAAGTCTGATTCATAAAAATATATCTGCTCATGATGATATAAACGAGCCACACTATTTGTTTGAAGGTGATTGACAATGTTTCATGATGAATTTCTCTAGTTGGGACTTCCATTGTCTAATATATAAAATGATTTGAAATCCCTGAGACACCTAAAAGAGAAGAATTAAAAAATGAATAGCTGAAAATGAAAATTATATTAAGCAAAAACCTGAAATGAAATAACAGTGAAATAAAATACAAGTAAAAAAATATAGGACAATTGAACAAAAATTAAATAAAAATAAAGAAATGAAAAAAGAAAATAAAAATACAAAGTTAAAAGATTCCAAGTCACGTTAGTTCACGACGTTTCGATTGTTGGTATCTACAATCGTCTTCGGGTAATGTAGATGATGTGATGTAGAACTAATGTGGCTTGGAATCTTTCAACTTTGTATTTTTATTTTCTTTTTTCATTTCTTTGTTTTTATTTAATTTTTGTTCAATTGTTCTATATTTTTTTACTTGTATTTTATTTCACTGTTATTTCATTTCAGGTTTTTGTTCAATATAATTTTTATTTTCAGCTATTCATTTTTTAATTCTTCTCTTTTAGGTGTCTCAGGGATTTCAAATCATTTTATATATCAGACAATGGAAGTCCGAACTAGTGAAATTGAGCCACACTATAATACACGTCAAGCTAACATGTTTAGACTTCCCCTGCCCACAACAACAATGGTGAAGGACTCATTGATATACAATGGAATAAAGATGTACAACAAAATTCCCATATACCTGAATAGTAATTCTTTGAATATTTTCAGGAAAAAATTAAGCGACATTCTGATTGATAAAGCCTATTATAGTTTAGATGAATTTTACAATGAGAACACTTTTTATGAATTATAGTTTACTACTGTATGTAACTATAATATAGCATATTTTTTTAAGGAAATTTTTTGAATTTCAAATTGTATAGCATTTATTGTGTTTCGTAAAAATGTGTTTGACACCCTATTTTATATAAATGGGCTTTTAGGAATTACTTTTATACTACTTTGACATAGTTCATAATCGTTTGTCAACAAGAAATCTTTCTTAGGACAATAAACGTATTTCTCTCTCTCAATCTCTCTCTTATGTACCAGTCTTAAATCATAATAAATTAGATTATCGACGCGTTTTGCTAACCAAGTTAGCATCAAGAGATGAGTGGTTGTCCTTCATTTTGAGCCAGAGTGTCCAATTCTACATATCACGTATTCTTACAGCTAAAATTAAAGAAACTGGACATCTAGTTGAATTTTTTGAACAATATCAACACAACAAAAGTCTCTAGAAACAGACTATAGCGCAATGCACTTCACAGACTTCATTAATAAATAAATTTCATGAAGAGGAGAGAAAACTGAACCATATAAGTTGAAGAATTCATCTGCTTCCTAATTTCTCAATATCTTTTGGCAACTTTTGGTAAAAGAATGATAATGAAAATTTTCAGAGAAAGTGGGAAAGGTATCCCGTTGAATAGTAAAGGTTCAGTTATCACACAAAGGTTATTGTAGATACCAACAACCAAAGCTAGACTAGAAGTATTTGTTCTTGTTAGAATTTTTTTTAAACACATGTCTCTTACAGCTTTATAACAAATGTATAGCTACACAAACCTCTTAATATCGTCTTCCACCAAATCCTGATGAATCGAAGCGACATATATTCTGTTATATTGCTTTGCTTCCTCTTGTATTTCATCAATTACGTTCTGCGCCTGTGGCATATTGCTTGGCCTACCCACTACTTTAATATTTCTTCCGCCGATCATGACACCGTTCATCTGTTCCAAAGCTAACTGTGCTGCTTCTGGAATTTCATATTCTACGAATGCAAAGCCCTTATGTTTTTGAGTCACAGGATCCCAAGACATGTTTATGGACTTTATAGGCCCAAAAGGTAAGAACGACTGTCGTATGGTATCTTCTTTCAGTTCAAAGCTGATGCTGCCTACGTATACCCTACATTTTTTTGGGAGAGAATATTGTTTTGAACTCTTCGAGATCATCTCTTTATTATATAATATCTACTATATATATGGAGTGTTTACGCCTTTATGGTTTAATTTAAGAATCTTCATTTATTTTTTATATTTTCATAAAGCAATAATGTTCTTCAACATTCGGTCATAAGTAAACTAATATTATGTAACAGTAATTTTACATATAATGCACTGTTTGGAACCTTTGGTGTAGTAATGAATATTACTGGAGTTTTATCCCAACACCAAACCGTATTTTCAAGACCTCGACACTTGCTTCAATCACCAAGTGATCATCTTCAAAAAGAAGATTGAACAGTTTAATATTCCTCTTGAACATGATCAGTTGGTGATTGAAACACTTGTCGAAATGTTAAAAATAACGGTTTGTTGTTGGGCTAAAACATTTTTGGGAGAATTCAAAAAGTGTTTGATCTATAGAAGAAGTGGAGTTTCTAAAGCCTTACAGCGGCGTTAGCGACTCTGATCCCACTCAGTGTGAAGCCTTCGAGATACCGAGCGCCCTCTCGTCGGAGAAAGCCATATCACGGTAATGAGGAATACTACCGTGATGGACTTCCTTTCCCTAGCTACACATGAGACCTTTTGTGGACCATGAAGTAACCAGAGAATCCGACTTTGAGTCTACAGAGGAGATGGACATCGACTAAATGACTTCAACTATTCTATCTGTAACATCGGATCACCAGCAAGAGCTTCTCATTTTTTGATCCTGTTAACAAATCTAGGAGTTTAGGTGATTCAGCCAGGAAATGACTTATCGCTTCCTCAAGAGCAAGATAACTTATATGTTTGCCTTGCACCATATTCTGGAGCAGNAAAAAGAAAATTAAAACCCCAGACTGAATTCATGAGAGCAATGGTATGCCGTGGTTTTAAATGGTGCCTAGTCCAGCCCGGATTTTGTTCTCTTTAATCATGATTTCGGTCGGGATTAATGAAATTACAGTTGGAAAAACTCTAGATTTTGTTAACTCGGGAACCTACGATATTCTGAGGTAGGTATGCTCCAACAACTCTTTAGCAGAATGAGGGAAAGGAAGTTCCGAAGTCATTAGAGCTCGTTATGAATGAAAGGCATGGAAGCAAGGCATTGGTCATAAACCTACAACCACCTCAGTAAATTACATGACAGCAATTTCCTATTAGATCTGTAGTGTCGTTTGTGATATCCTATTAGATCTGTGGTGTCGTTTGTGACGGCTCCATCTATAAAAATCTCAGAATGCTCATACAATTAATTGAAACTCACACGAAGATTTTGCAATTTTCCACAAACCATTTTATATGGACAGTGTCACTCATGATTCCTCGACACATTCCTATCAGCAAAAAGTAGCAGCATTTAATAGTTGCATCAGACTATTGAATAACCCACTGTCAGAAAGTAATTTTCAGAGAGAACTGCCATTTACAAGGTCTATCCCACTTCAAGCGTAGGACATTGGCATACTTTGACAAGATAGAGTTGCACGTTGCTTACATATAAGTTGACTTGTTGTGGTTCTTGCCCAAACGGGAAGAATCTATTTCCAAAGAATAAAAGAACATAGGAGTAGTTTTTTGAATCTGAAGACCAATTACATATTTGCATATCATCTTTTGGCAGAGAGGTATGAGTTCAACCGTGACTACGAAGTATTACATTTGAAACAGAAAGATTTGAAAGTCAATCTTTTGGAATGCTTGAAAATTATTAGGATAAAAATTCTCAAAATTTACTGAAAGATCAAATAAAATTGAATTCTTTCCCTCTGCTAAATCTGTTTTCTGATATGTAAATTGGTAATTAATTTTACATCTTAGTCAATATGGACACTTCTGAGGAAGTTATTTGTAAATTGATCAGTGAAAATCTCTCAACGAAGCTTTACTTGTCAGCGGCGGCTCGTCAGAGGAGGCAAGGAAGGCTTAGCCTCCCCATAAAATTTGAGACTATTCATCGCAATAAATTAAAAGATATTGACAAATAATTATGATTATTTTTTTTCCAAAAATGCTTGGTTATCATTACTTTACCATTCATTTTTAATATAAATACATAATATGCCCGAAAAAACACTATCACTCACTACGTAGTACGTACCACACTGTATCCTGCATCAACAAACCTCAAACGCACCGCCCATGAACGAATAACGAATAAACTATCAACCCGAAATGATAAATGCCATACGTTGCAAGGGAGCCAAGCCTCCGACCGCTTTAAAAAACACAGGCTCCACGAGACCGATCCAACCAGCGACATACGTCCGATTTGTAATTTCAGTTGCAGAAATAATAGCGTTAGAGGAGGCTAGCCTCCAGTTGGTCTCCGTTAGTGTACGACTGCGTTTGTTTTTTATTTAGTTATTCGGACGGGATGCCGAGACGGACCGGGACTGAAAAATATTTCGGTAAGTCGTTCTAGTGATAATCGACAAAATCAAGGATTTAATATTAGTTGTTACGATAAATGCGATTGGTTAACCGGCTCCATTAAAAAAAAAAACTTTTTTGTTGGCCCTGTGTTTTATTTTCCGTACAAACCGAATACCAAACGTGGTCTAAAATAGGATACTCCGATTTAAAAAATTTACCTCGTTCTACAGAAAAATATTTTAAATCTAAGGCAAACAAAATATAGCAAAAGCTTTAGACACAGTTCAAAAAGAGGCCATAATTTCTTTTAATAATCAAGTTAAGGAAAATCGGTCGAATTTAAAAAGACTTATCGATATTACGATTTATTTGGATTCCCAAGAATTAGCTTTTCGCGGACACGATGAAACCGAAGATTCGATTAATCGCGGCAATTACAAGGAACTTTTAATGTTATGGGGCAAATATGATTCACAATTTGGCACTTTTTAAACGGTAGCGTTTTTTCGGGCACCTCAAAAACCATCCAAAATGAGCTTATAGACAGTGTGGCATATATTATTAAGAAAAATATAAGCAAGGAGATTGAAAGCGTTTCTTTTTTTGCATGGGAAATTGATGAAACTACCGATATTACCTGTACATCACAACTTTCAATCGTTTTTAGATATGGCAAAGGTGGTAATGTGGTATAATGTTTTATGGGTTCTCATGATGTTTCATCTGGGCGCACAGCTGACGATTTGTTTAATTTTTTAAATCGTACGTGTGGCTGCGGTCATGGCCGGCCTCATGCACTTTTTACGCATTGTCATGCCCATGCCCTAACTTTAGTATTAAGCAAAGCGTGCAACAACATAAAAAAATTCGCGCCTCCGGCGGGCTTTTCTGTGTGTATATAGTCTATATGACCTAAGCCTCCCCTATTCTCCAATGCACGAGCCGTCACTGTTACTTGTATAATTGTAACTCTATAAAAAAATGTGGGATCTAGTCAATTTTTCTCTGTTTTTGATTCAAAAAGTTGATAGTGGCAAGTAAAATTTGCCCCAGATTGAAAAAAGTATACAGCCTTTTGTCCACCGGATAGTGTTTCACGTCATTTTTGCAGTTAGGATATTTAGACTGAAAACTGCGGCGGAAGTTCTTACTGGCTAATTATGTACGTTGGTCCAAGTCTTTCTTGATGACAATATTACTAAATGGATTTTCCAACTCATCTGAAACAACTTCGTTCAGTTCATGAATAAAACGCCATCATATTTTTGAAGACAGAATGAATAGATGATATTTTAGACTGCACTGAACCAAAAACATTACATTTTTAAGTAACATGCAATTGGTATGGTGAATGTTCCAATTATATCATAAGTGACAATTCTTCTTACTAAATTGCTGAATTAAAATACTAGGTATAAATATGTGCATGATAAACTGAAGCTTTTACCCGATTTTTCTGAAAATTATGCCAAACATATGTTTTAATTTAGTGGTACCTAAAAAAACTGAAAACCATTACAATATCAATGAAAAATAATATGGGCTATCAAACGATTCAGAACATTACTAACAAAATCAACCATTCATTTTACTCACTGATGATAAAGCACTCATTTTGTTGAAATATTTCATATTCTAATTTGGTAAAGCAAAAAAAAAGTAAGATGTCAAAAATATATTGAGAACACTTTTGGTAAATCTACATAAATGTAATTGGTAGAGATAAATGGCCAAGGCTCTGCAACCTATATGTCACCAAGTATATCACTCCTTGCTTATGTTTTACCACATGAATGATAATTATCTCATTCATATAACCTAAAAAGGAAAGTCCGATGTTGCAACCAGAAATGTATATATACTTCCGAATTCTATAAACAATAAAGAGGATTTCAGTGAAGCTTCAGAGACTGCTGTTTCTCTAGCATCCCCTTGTAAACGAAACTAACCAATCCCATTGTTAGCTCAATTTATTTTAATTGACAACTTTTCAAGATTGACTTGAGTAAAGCGAATTTTGAAGAAGTGATTTAGTGTCCGACCGAAACTGGTTTTTACGACCGAAACCGAATTTCGGCAACGGTCTCAGTTTCGGCCGAAACCGAAATTTCCTTACAAGGACTATGTTTTGAGGGAAAAATAATGAGAAAGTTACGTCACGAAAGTCACAACGTTATGCAGTCTTCAACATTTTTACTTATTGATAATCAACATAACAAACCCTTATTTAAGAAAAAATATTAATTGCACCTTAAAAATACCTACTTAAAATAGGTGAGGTGGTTTATTTGAGAAGGTGTAGATCCTTTTTTTGAATATTATTGATGGTTTTTCAAAAATATTAATCATAAAATTACTTATTTGAGTTGTTACCTAATATCACAATAGGTATTTAATATTTATGTAATAAACAAAGTAATTCACAAAGGAAGTCTGGAGTCACGACATGATTAGGCACGTGGACGGGGTAAAATGTCTTAATCGCTTGTATGAAATTCAACGCGCCGAACATGACCGATCACAGCGCGGGAACTCCCGAATGCAGATTCGGTTTCGGTCGTAGTTTCGGCAGGTTTGCCGCCGAAACCGAAACTAAACTGAAACCCGCTTTTTTGCAGAAACTCGACCGAAACAGAACTTTCGGTCGGACACTAAAGTGATTTGAATAATTGGTCTCCTAATCGACAATTCAATAGCTCTTATTCTAAGTGAGATGTCATGATTTATAATATTGTCTTACTGTTATTTTTAGTTAGTGACTTGAATTATCTTTCACTCAACAATGTTTCAAATTGTTTTCCTCTTTCTTATAAAAAGATCAATTTCTTTTGGAGCATTCACCATCATAGACGTGACACTCCTGAGAGGAGAGTGTTGTGGAAATCACTGTAATTGAAAAAATCAAGATCCACGAGTGACGAAAGTCAAGTTTTCAAGTTTCTTTGGGCACAATAAGGATCCAACATAGGCTGTTATAATTTTTCTATGATAGTTAGAATGATACTATATGTATCCACCTAACTGTTATTTGACTTGTTTTGTTGTTGTTTCATCAAATTTGAAGGTGAAAGGGACATTTCTAGAATCATTTTTCGAGAAATCTGCAAAAGGACAAATACCAAACTAAAAGACATATTTATATTTGAACATATAGGGTCTTCCGACAGAAATTTCCAAACTTTGACAATTGATAACGGCCATCTTGTTGAAGATGCATTTTGCCAAATCACCATGGACCGATATAGCATTCAACAAAAGGTGCGAATAATGAAATTGTTTCATCAAAATGGGTGTTCTGTTCGGGCAACGTACCGCGCGCTTCGCACATTTTACGATCGTCATAATCGTCCGACCGAGAGGACCATTCGCAATATGGTGGATAAATTTGAGTCCATTGGTTCAGTAAATGATCGACAACACCCATACGTCGACGAAACGCAAGATTTGCCAAAAACATCGCCGCTGTCTGTCACGGGTGTGCAGGAGAACCAGAGGCAGTCGATTTCACGTCGCTCACATAAACTCAACCTTTCGCAGACTACAACTTGGCGAATTTTGCGTCGTGACTTGGGCCTGCATCAAAACAATAATCAACTGACTCCAGAAGGCAAACGACCATAGACAACGACGTGTGTTCGCTGAATGGACTGTGGCCCTAATTTTCATCGAAAAATCATCTTCAGCGATGAGGCCTATTCTGGATGAATAGCTACGTAAACAAACAAAATTGTCGAATTTGAAACGATACCAATCCACACGAGATCCAAGAGCGTCCAATGCATCCCAAAAAAGTCACTGTTTGGTGTGGAGTCATCGTTCCATATTTTTTTGTGAACGACGTCGGCCAGGCCCTCATTGTCAACGGCGAGCACTATATGTCAATGATTACGACAAGCAACATAACTCAAGCCATCAGTCAAATTCAGCCTGAATTATGCGCCAGTCATGGAAAATTAATTGGACGTTTCAGATGCGCTCCACCCAGAGAAGCCGTGGCGGACATTTGAACGATGTTATTATCCACAAATAACGGCATAATAGATCTTTCAAACAAATAAAATATTTCGATATCTCACACACACTTTGTTTTATTTAAATTTAGAGACAGTAAGTGCTCAATAGTGCCTATACTGAAAGTACAGTTGGAAACTATATCCGAATCAGGAAGCATACGTTTAAAAATATGGTCGATTCATTCTTTGCTTCTAAAATAATCATTATTTTCCATAAAATATAAAGCCCATAAAATATCAGCTTTCACATTCTTCTCTTCAGGTGCAAGCAGATATTCTCCAAAAATTTGAAATATCCATATTTTGATGCAATAAGGTATTGCATGAATACGTGAAGTTAATGTTTTTCTCTTTTCAGTAACAACAAAAACTGGTTAAGTAGTTTCTCAATTCTTCAAGGATAATAGTTCTGTAAGTTTCCCAGAGTTAGCCTGTAACTTGACATCGCTCCTTCCTAAACCATCTATTCAAAAAAAATTAACACTTTCACCCACTCTACAAATCTTACAACATGCCAAGTATTGGCAGTTAAGCACGCCTGCAACCATGGACATTCCTGTTTTCCTGTTCCCAAGTTATTGAACTTTTTGTTACAGATCTTGGCATTTTAGTTGGAAAATGTGATATCAAATTTGATCACAAAATTATTTCACCAAACATCAGCTACATTAGCTGTGAAAACCAGTACCTCTGATTCAATGTCTTATTGATACAATGCCTCATAAGATATTCTACAGATGTATTATCTTTATCTTTATTAGAATGATCATGAACTGTGGTGGGGGCTGAGCCAAAGTCTTTGAGTTATTCATAGCGGTGATACAATTGAAAAGTTGATGTTTTGAAATTACAACAATAATTTAGAAAATTTAAAAATTCTAGGACCCATGAATGTTTTATGAGTATATCTACAGCTGGTTTACTTGAAAATGGTTTAACAAACTGAAACGGGTTGTAACAAATGAAAATTCTTAGTAGGAATCAGACAAAAGTAATTTTTTTATCCTGTATTCTATATCTACACAGACTGATCCAAATCAAGTATGCAAAATTGGTAACCTTATTATTATTGGAGATAGGAAAGCGTTTGAATAATCAAATTGGTAGCGTTTTTCAACTGATTCAGATGCAAAAATAAAAAAAACACTTCAGTGACGCTTTTCTTACTTTTTGAGTGAAAAGCTCACTTAATAAGTGAGACGATTCTTTTCTAATGATGAAAAATTTTTTTCTAATGGACAGCCCTGGATGTTATATTTTCTGGTATATGATGAAAAAATTGTTTCAATAAATATAAATGATATTTCAGAGCTATCGTAAAACCAGTTCGAAAATCCATGTCAATACCAACCCAAAGAAAATACTAGGAGGGGCAACAAAGTATACAAGAACGTACGTTTTTTGAGCGTGCTAACCTGCACATGAGAGCGAGAGCCTGCTGCCTCTGGATTAGATTCCTCTGACTAGCCTCTTGCTGTAACAGAGGACAATAGCCACGTCATAATTCTGAGAGAAGTATTAGACCCTCCGACCATAGGCACTTTCAATGTGAGACGTAGCCCTTTATTGTCAACCCAAGAATTTATCACCATTTAATTCATTTTAATTGTTAGATATCATGGTAGATGCAACTGACGAGTTCATTTTTATATTTAACAGTTCTGAATGCAATACATTCAGACTCAACATAAAAAATAACACTGAAATAATTTGCAATGGCAGTGGTAGAGTAACAATAACTCTTTTGTAGGCATAGCCTTTGAACAAGAAACAAATTGTCGAGGTGAATAGTGAAAACCAATGAAACATTATGTATTTTATATTGGATCTAGAAAAAAAATATTTCAAAAAAATATGTTGCTTACCATCTGCCAGTTTTATATTTTTTACATCTATCAAGGTCCATTTTATATAACAAAGTGAAACAAATTGATTAAAAAAATATTCAAACGTGATTGCGCATCAACTCGAAAAAAGCACTTTTTTTGAACACTCATACAAGCCGTTTGGTGCGAAAGGGTCATTTGAGTCAACATGTGTGTGTATGGGGGGCGAGCTCTCGCCCCCTAGGCGGGCGTGTGCGATACTATTTACGCACTAACCTGCACATTAAAACTAACACTTGATGTCGCTGGAAGGTCTTATTTTTCTGTGAAGTAAAGTTTAGTTAGTCCATTATCAAGCGGCACAAAAGTTTGTTGCAAAAAAAGCCAATTAAAAGAAAACTTCGAGAACGAGTGTAAACTCCATGAAAGTATTTTTGTATAAAAAAAAATAGTTTTAAAATTTCAAAATCGCACCTTGTCTGTTTTATTTTTCTACATCATAAAATATAAATGAAAAAAAATGGCTTTGGCTTATCTCCAGCTCCTGGGCTACACATTTTGAATAAACATAAAAATATAAGGGATATATTGAATTAATTAATGATAATATAGGGTACCAAGAAATTTTTAAATGGTTCAAAATTCTTTTGAAAACAAACCTAAATTATTTGACATCAATTATTTGAACCTCTTGGGAACAGTTTTTACTTATTCTGGAGGTACTGTAATAGGCATTCGAAAAGCATACCTACATCATTCCTGAAAATAATTATTAGAGATTTGTTTCTCAAGGGGTCTGACTACAATCATTGGAATACATTTTTGTGATATGTCCAAATTTGAAATTGCCAAAGGATTTAATGTTAACTTGACCACATATTGCAGTACTTCCACAATGTGGTGGCATTCATGTGTTGAGGGCAAAAATTATTTCTCTTGTAGTCATTTAGGACCACCAAATGAAAATAATTCAAATCATAAAACATCGACACCTATTCATGATATCTCAAAGTTGGGTTTCTAACAACTGATCGTACTAAAACCTGTGTTAACACCTATGTAAATAATGTTATCAAGTATCACTTAAACTGATCTAGGACTATAGTGAAGAGTACTAGGAAAATACCCCTAAAAACAGCGCACGGTAACTGTGTGAGAAAAGAAATAAAGAACTGTTACAAACCGTGTTAGGAATCACACGTTAAAAGGTAAGACCTCATTAGTCCTTAGCTCGCACAAGTTTCTCAACTTCTGAGAGTTGTCGTTCGTATGGGGGCGGCAGCTGATTAACGGAAAAACAGATTTTAAACAGATTTACACAGACAGAATAATTACAGGGCTACTTACTAAACATTTTCCATTTATAGGACATCAGAACGAAATAGGAATGTATAATAAATGATTTAGCTGCAAGCAATGCAACCAGACCAGTAAGACAGCTTGTCATATTTCATGTGACTGTGAGGCACTGGATATCAGGAGGTAAACAATTCATGGACAATCCCAATCATATCTAGAAGAATATGACAAACATCCAACAAAAGACCCTTCAAACTATTGCAGTTGAAAGATTGAATTGGTACCTTAAAAAGATGAGAGCAAAAACACAAAGTACCCATTAGTCTGCAGTTTTTCCATAGACTCATCAGAAATGGACAAGATAATTAGCATTATGAAACAATTTGTTGTGTAGTGTATATACCTGCTATTAGCGTTGTACAATTTTGTGACTTGAAAATTTCCTAGATTGCCAGTTGATTTATTTTCAAATGGTTGATTCAATAAAGAAATGTGATCCCTGGAATGAAGATGGAACCTGGATTCAGCTCATCTTAATGAGAGAGACAAGTGGTGACTTAATTAGGATTGAAAAAAAATTGGGGTGAGGATACATTTTCCCGTTTAAAAGAACCATTAAATGTCTACTTGAAAACTGCCAAACAGATGCAGTTTCATTTCTATGAATATTTTTCTCAAAATATTAACTGGCACTTTTCAAACCACATAATAAGTTTCAGAAAGAAATTATTTCTTTCACTACAAAAGGTTATTTTCCCAATACCATCTTATAAATGAAATAAACCCAACAATTGAGTGCTCATGGGTCAATCATATCAACAGGAGTTAGATAGTTGACCTAATTTGTGGAAATCTGGAAATACTTTTCAAATAGTTGTTGTCAGAACTCCTATTGTTATTACATGCTATGGCTATGTGCTCATATAAATACAGTCATTAGTTGAAAACTTGAGAGAAGGGCTTCATAACTCAGAAAACAAAACAGCTCCAAAAATAATCATTTTCTAAAAATTGTTTGAAATTTACTACCTAGATTAGATTCATCAACGGGGATGTTAATTGGAATAAAATATATTTTTAACGGCTGCACCTCCAGATGTAACAAAAATTGTACTCTAAGCTACAAAAGTTTAATGTATCTGATGAATACATACCTGCTGCTGATAAGCGATGGTCTGTTTCATTAGAACCATCCTTATACTTTGTTCCATAGCATATTTCTTTGCTTTGCTTACCGCATCTGCATCATCTGATGAAAGTTTGGAAAGACTACCTCCCAAAATTCCAGCAATGGTGTTGCTGCGAGCCCCAGGCCCTGAAATACAAAAAAAATGTTCAAACATACAATATTTATGTTTACTTTTCTGTTTTTTAAATAACTCTTATAGTTATATCACCTTTCATACCAACTTTTTTCAACATGTATTTATTTGTAACAATTATTTACATCGATGATAGTAGAACTTGCAATGTAGACAGTTCATATTTTTTATTCTCAATCAAAGAATAACATGTTGTGATATAAATATAACAAAAATACGATTTGGTGGCTATCAGTAAAGACCTAATTTTCATAATGAAAAATAGAGAATTGAAACTTTCTACTTTACCACTTTTATTTGTAACTAACGTTACTGCAGTTTCATCCTATAAGGACATTTTCACACTTATTCATGTATAAGTGTGATTATGATTTCCTACCAGGTAGTGACGGCTACATCCATAAATTTATTTACCTAATTTTCACTTCATTGAAATATTTTAAAAAGAAATGTTTTGAATGGATGACTTATTTAGTGTCATCAGCTTTGTGTTGTGATTAGTCAATGTTTATAACCCCCCGTGCCACCTAGAGAGCAACAATGTTATTTACAGTCTGTCAGCGAAGTAACGTTTCAGAATCAGACCAACTTCAACTAGAAAAACTATCTTGAGGAAAATATCTGAGCAAGGTTGGGCCCAAACCTGCGACTTTTTGATCATGAGTCAGATGCACTACCACTTGCACCAATTCATCGCCAAAAAAGAAAATTAAACTAAATTTATCTACAGTGTCATCCCCAATGTATGCACCAAATGGAAACTTTTTTATTAAGGGTTTTTTGACAAAAAAGCTATTCTTGATAAAAGTTTGAGCATCCCCTAAAACTAAACATGCACCAACAAAATACAGTATAACACACGTAATATACGAGGAGCCTTCAAATATTTTATTTTGTGACAAAATTAAAGTACTCTTATTTTGAAAAAGCTCGGGAAATGTTATTTAGAAAAAATCTACAGCATTGAAAAATTCATCTATATTTGAAACTAAAACTTCACTCAGATGGCCACGACTTCAAATCTAGATGTATTTTTCAATGCTGAACAACTTTTCTAAATAACATTTCCAGATGATCAGCTGTGATGGCGTCATGGCAACAGAATTCAGAATGAGGACGGAGTGAGAGAGTAATAGATAGAAAGTTTCATTTCTCTTTTCTGCATTATGATTTCCTACCACGTAGTAACGGCTACATCCATCAATTAATTGATTAATTAATCGTCATCTTCATCACGAACGAGTCTCTGTGATCGATTTATGGCAACAGAATTCAGAGTGGGGATGGAGTGAGAGAGTAATCGATAGAGAAAAAGTGAAAAAGGAATAGAAACGCGGAGAGGAAAATATAGACATCACGCAGCTGCACGCATTAAACTTTCTCGACGAATTTTTGCTATTTCGGCTTGAGAAAATCGACAGATTATATATTTTTCGATATCCTCGAATTATTTTCTTCAAAGTAAAAAAAATTTGCTACGCTCGAGAATGTCGGAATGACGTTATTTTTTACAACTTTGCTGCCCTCCCCTTTCTTTATGTCACTCTCAAATTGTCAGATTACTGGAATATACACTTTTTAGCATGTAATTAACTCACCCTACCTTAATCTGAGGCGCTCGAGAATTTCTGATGATCAATGTTTTTTTACTAATCTGATCCTTTATCCTTCACCGGGTACAAGGTATCCCCCCGTATATTAATCTGCCGCGCTTCAGTAAATTCCGAAATCCCTGCTTGGACTCCCCTATTATTACTGCATTTCCAATTGTACAAAACGAATTTTTGTGATACTATGCTTTCAAAATGAACATGAGTATTGAGATTATACACACACACCAATAGTGAATTTGAGCAGTCTGCTTCCATTGCATAGATATAATTTCATCTACACATCATTTAACGGTTTTATAGTTTTTTGTCTTGAACTTCTCGAGCTTATTCCCTTTATAAAAAATCAAAATATTTTCTAACGTATTCTGTCTGTCTGAATTTCACAATACAAATTATAGTAATCATATTCATATCTGAATAGTAATTTTGTTGGGTCTTCTGTATAAAAATTCAAAAGCTATATATTAGAAACAATGCCGGACATTTTCTGCAATTTTTAAACCGAATAAAAATAGAGACAGTTTTTTTGCTAACCCTTTGAATGTATTCAAAAATTCAGTATTGTATTATTTATGTACCTTGTATTATTTATAATTCACTGCCTCTTTCTATCAACTGGATTTCTTCAAAATGAAAAATTAGGAAATTATTTCGAAATCGAATTTCAAAATATGCACCTTTCTCAAAACTCCTTATATTCTAGGTGTCAGAATATGAGGAATATTTTTTGCAGGTACACCAAATCAATATTTGAGTTCATATCTCCGATTAACTGATTCGAAAGTTACTAAGAATACCGAGTTTATTGGGAACATTCAGTTAACGCCCTCGTGGAATGAAGATAGAGAAGCATCCTGACGATTGACGTAATAGTAGTTTTCAAATGACGTCTACCCAATGATGCTCTTTATTTAGCCTCCTCCTGGATATTGGATGAAGGGATTATTTTACACCTCCCAAGTTTTTGACCTTACATACAATTTTTTGTTACCATCCTCTTAAAAGGAATATCGGCAGAGCAACAAATCCAAGCATCATGATAAGTATGAGAAAAATATTATTGTCGAGACAATCTACCAAATCAGAGAGACAGACACAATCCCGGATTTAATTTTTTATTTTTCCCAGTATTTTTATGTCAAACAGCACTAGTGAATAGTTGATTGAAATTTAAGTACACTTACCAGTTATAACTTCACCTGTTTGGGTTAAATCATAGATGTATTCGTGTCCTTCACATAAACCTAAAACAAACATAAGGGGTATTAATTTTCACTTTTTGTTATGAGGGGTTGAGGGAGACGTTCAAAACTATTTTCGTGTTGAACATTTCAAAACGCCAAGAAGAATTTTTATGTTTTTTAAAAGGAATTCTTGCCTTCAATATATAATGATTTTTTTTTTCAAAAATATATTAGTTTGGAGATTTCGGTGCTGGCATACTGTTCCTTGATCTATATTGAATGTCCAAGATTCTCATTTGCAGATTTTATCAGATTGGTTAATCTGAATACCATGAAAAATTTTACCACCCAGATTATTTCTACGACCGTTTCGACATCCGCAGAAATGTTATTGTCATCATCCTTAGAACTCCTCCTCGCATACACGGGGGGAGTGAATATCAGGAAATCGTGTACCCTGAGTGAATGCAATTAGTTACGAATGGCAATCTTCTGCGTCTAATTTTGCCATTACACCGGCATGATCTTATTTTTCAATAATATTCTCTCTCCCAAACAAACGATCAAGTGTATCCTAAGGTAAGTCCTGTATGGATGAGGGTCAGTCATCAGTCAGTCGCTCTAAGGCGACTTACTGAATGTTGGTGGCAAATTTGTTACTACAGTTGCAGGTAAGTCCAGAAAACACAGATTAAATATAGATATTTGCGCTGTGTAAACCTACTCATAAAAAAGGATTTTGACTAATATCGAACTTCTACGTCAATGGTTTGGTGTTAAAAAAATTTACTGGAGTTTTATCCCAACACCAAACGTTATTTTTAACACCTCGACACGTGTTTCAATCACCAAGTACAGCCTACCGGACTGAGTCATCTCTGGTGAAAAGCCCCTCCCTCCCGAATTTGATTCTACATAAACTGATTTTTACATATCTACAAGAACCCAAATGACATTTTAATATCCATTTATTGTTGAATCCGTTCTATGTAAAATTGCAAACAAAAGTTTCTATTCCTTTTTTCCTAATACTTTCTTCGTCATACACCGATACGATTTCTCCCACCGGCCATGACTCAGTCCGGTAGCTGTAATCATCTTCAAGAGGAACATTAAACAGTTCAATATGCCTCATGAAGATGATCACTTAATTGAAACACGTGTCGAGGTGTTAAAATAATGGTTTGGTGTTGGGATAAAACTCTAGTAATATTCATTACTACACCAAAGATTCCAAACAGTGCAAGTACATATTTGGTGTTAACACAAATGTCAACAATCAAACAATACTGATCCGACCTTATTTTTTGTTTGGGTCGTAGTAGACAAGCATTATAAAAAAATTAAATGAAAATAAACTTCGAAAATACTTGTAAACGTACAGAACCATTAAACCACCAATGTCTGATAATGATTTCGAAAATGAAAATGAGACGGATTTCATTAGTATCGACAATACAAAAAGGGAAGTAGGAGAAAGCAAGGGGACTGATAGAAAAATTGATATAGTAAATAAAAGAAAACCGAAACAATGTGTATCCCCCTTGAATGGGAATACTAGACTAGGAAATGGCACAACATATTTATAGATATTTTGTGTTGTATTAACCTACATCTTTAGGTACATAATTCATTGGTTAAAGGAACGGAAGGAATATTCGAAAATATTTCTTTCCAATTTATTTTTCATTTAGGAAACTTTTTCAACATGAATTAACTTTCGGCATGTTACTCCAGTGGTGTGTTGAAACTTCAATTGTTCATATTTTATTCAAGTTAGATTTTAACAGCATTAAAATGCAATTGAACCATGAGAAACGTGAAGTTTTTCAACGGCTTACATTTTTTTATTTATTTTCATTGAGAATCTGAGATAGTCAATTAGGTTGCTGCATAGGTAGTTTCCAGATTTGTTAATACGCAGGGTTTTATGACTGACGTTGCGTCTATAACTACGGTAGATATTATCAAAGACGCAGATGAAATGAAAGCAGTGTTTTCACAGTTTCGCCTACAACTACTTCTAACAAAATAACTTGTCAAAGGCGGTATGGCTGTGTTCTCCACACATTCTGTGTGGGCTGTTAGAGCAAATAGAACATTGCAATTGTTGCCTCACAGCATTTCCGCTGTCTACCTTAGTTTTACTGCATTTTCCGACCAACAAATAAAGTAACATGTGTGAACGCTCACATCCTTTAATTATATACGTTATAAATTGTTCCAAACCTGTCACTTTGTTTCTTCTATTTAAATAGAAGCTTATGTGTTTGTGTTAAAGTTTGCGATATAATGTTCTTATTTTTTCCTTGTATAACTCCAGTTATACACTTCATCAAATTGATGAAGAATTAATTTTCCAATCGTTTTTTTTATCGAGTATAAATTCAATTTGAAAAAGACTGCCAAGGAACCAAATACAAGCCACAGAATGAAAAATGTATCTGTACAATGGTCAAAAAAAGTATACAAATGTGTGCTGGTACAGTCAAATGATACATCATCGGACTTCCATATGCCCTCCTTATCTGCCTATTTAGCTTAAAAGAAAAAACGAATAGAGAACCAAGAAGAAAAAATGATTATGAGGGTGACAAAATATTTCTAACAGCCAAATATTTAGACGGACATTATGCTTATTAGATACTTAACAGATTTTCCAATAACTTCTACCTTGATTAATGTGCGATGGAATATCAGAACGTAATTTCTTTAAACCACTGGGGCAGATTTCGATGAGTTTTCTTAAATTTCTGAACTTTTTTATCGTTGATTTTAGACATTCAGTTAGTTCATACAGTGTGATCAATTTAGATTTAAAAATTCACTATATAATTTCAATTGTCAACCAACGAAAGGTCTTCTGGGGGACAAAATTTAAAATAATCCAGTTTTTGAATAGAACTGGCCGATACTTGATGAAAATCCATATCAAAACTAATTAATAGTTTATTGTATGATTTTCACTATAAAATCATACAATACATACATACAATAGTGAAAATCATACAATAAACTGTATTAATTAGTTTTAATCCAGTTTCAACGGCATACTACAATTTTTATTAAAGCAATTTTTGTATAAAATAAAGTGTGCCTCTGGATTCATAGTAACTCCAGATAGCTTTCTTTGATACAAAATTGCATAAAAATATATTTATCAAAAATAAAGATACAATTTAAAAATTCCCTAAATTAGCTATCACAAATGAACACTCTTTTTAAAGATTGTATCAACTGTAGCCACATACTGTATTTTCAACAGTAAACCACCACTGTGCAAAGAAATTATTTGAAAGTAAGGAAATAATAAAACTGAATAATTTTATTCAGCTCAATAATCATTGAAAACATTGATTTTATGCAAAATTTAATTTTTATTTTTCTAATTGATTCGGCCGTTACTTGATGAAGATCTATAGTAATCTGTGAATCATGCTGTTTAGTTTATTTAATCAATGTTCCTCTTTCAATAGATAATTTCGATAAAGAACTTAATATCAAGTTGCGGTAGACAATGGGTTTAAAGCCGAATTAATAAACAAAATACTTGCCAAGAAAGTCTACACAAAAGCTATTCGAGACGTTTTTCCTATTGATAAGGTAGATAATCAAAATTATAGAGCTTTAACGTATTTTGGACAACCAACGGAAAAAGTGGCTTCATTTTTGAGGAATCGAGATATTAAAATTGCATATAGAACAAGTAATACGTTGGGAAAGTGAGTTAAAAATAATAAAGACAAAACATCCAAATTCGAGAAATCAGGAGTATATAAATTAAAGTGTGGAACATGCCCCAAGGTATATATTGGTCAAACTGGCAGGACATTTAGGAATCGAATCCAGGAACACCATACGAGCTATGTAAATAAGAAAACAAATTCTACATATTCAAATCATCTTCTAGAAGAAAATCACACCTTTAATAAAGAGTTCAAAATTTTGCACATACAAAATAAAGGTTTGGAACTGAATCATTTGGAAGCAATGGAAATTAATAAACTAAAAAATTCAAACATTCTAATGAATGACCAACTAGATTTGAATAGATCAACATTATTGAACTTGTTTTCTTAAAAACCGAGAAAGAATTATTATTGATGTAGATGTGAGGCAATATGCTTCAGGTGATCATAATTGATCAGTTACGTTATGTAGAAGTTCAGGTAATTTCTTTGAGGTAGTCTCAATTATGGTTACCTGTAGTATGTAAATAGTAACGTAAGGATAATTTGATGTATAAAAAACTTGAAAAAGCTAATGTTCTTAGCGAAACATGTTGTGATATATTTTTCAAATAAAGTATGTGGAGATCAAATCGAGAGGTGTAGTTTTTGAAATTTAATTTTTATTTAGATTTTTCTCTACCAATTCACCATCTAGTTGGATACACTTGTAGCCCTTACATACATTTCCAATTACTTTAAAGAAAACTGTCAATGTTTGAGCAATCAGCAAACAATAATAGGAAACGTTTCAAGTAACTTGAAATTAATAAATAAACCAAATCAGTAAAAAAACATTTTTCCAAGTTGTTAGGGAGTTATTTCTGAATATGTCTGTCGAATTCTTGCAAAAAGTTCAGTTTTCTCTCTTTTTGTAACCTCTTGTCTGAGAAGTCAATATGAATTTCCACACAGTAAATAGGTCATCAATCGAAAAAGTTAATATTATTCATACATTATTCATACATTATCAAATGTTTCTAGAGATTGAAACAAAACTGAATTGATATTCAGTAAACTGGCATGTTCTTTGGAAGACCAATGATCTAGTGAAAATTTAAAAAATCGTTCATTGAAAGATGTGAAAATGAATGAATGTTAGTATTTCATGTTTGTGTTTATGCAGTTCCTGATAACAGCTGTTTTATTATATATTGAAAACTTTGGGAGCAGTAGTTGCGGAGTTTACATGTAGTCATAATGGAAAATTCAAGACTGACAAAGCAGCTAGGAGCGTGTCACTTTCCAAAGAGATTGTCCCTTAGGATGAGCAAATGTCAAATCACAGAATTTCATCAAAAAAATTGAAGAATCAAAAGTAAAATTGAGAAG